CGTTGCAAATAATACTGTCCCCTAAAACAACCCATAGCAGTAGTTCTCTCATGTTCAGCCCTATGTCAACAGTTGTTGTTCCACTCAGTAATGTCAAGTACAGAGCAGAGAGAGAGCTGTCAGTACCTTCGAGACAAAACACACACCACCCCAGGCCCAGCGGCTTATCAAACACTCCCCCTTCTATCCCCTTCGGTGTCTCGCTCGCTCTCGCGTTATTTGCTCCTTCTCACTTCCCCAACCAGTTTCTCTCATTGCATGTTTATCTTCCTCTACTCTGGGCTGCAGCACACACCATCCCTCACCCTCCATATGTCAATAAGGCTTTGAGGGGCCACTTCTTCTCAAAAGTCAGTGAGAGGAGGTGTAGGAGGTGGTGTAGGGGCATAAAGCCGTCCGCATACATAGGTTCGGCTGGCGCATAGTAGATCTCGGCTAAGCAAACCGAACGAGTGTGCTTGCATACTCCCTTGAAAGACGTTCGCTTGGGAAAAAGGGGAAAAGCGGAAATAGTGCTGGTAATAGCCATCCACGGCCAAACAAGGAAGTGATGACACACCCAAACAAGGAAGAGGCGCGCTGGAGAATAAAATGGTGTATACAGAAAGACTGGCGGGAAAATGGAAGTTGTGGGGATTGCCCGGGATCTACTAAATTCGCTTTACCTAGAAACACATATAATAGGCGAGAGAATAAGAAGATAGTCAGTCAGTGCGACCACTCAACAGAGAAGGAACAACGGAGGGGGGAGTATGCCATGCTGGTCCAACAAATGCGCCCCATTGATGAGGAGCAGCATTTTGTGTACTTCAGGATGAATTGGCCTTTACATGCTAGTCTTTATATGACGCATAGCTAGAATCGTAGAGGTGCAGGTACTTCTGCACCTCCTCGACCAAGCGATGCTGGAAGTTGTTGTTGTCGTTCCGCATGTTGAATCCACACTGAGTTTCGGGCTGAATCGAGAAGAAGAAGAGCCTCGCGTTACCCCTACAGTTGACGAATGACAGACGAAGGGGCGTAGACTTTGGCTACCGAAGTTCGATTTTGCTCAAGAAAAGGTTACATGTGCACGAACGACCAAAACCGTACATAATATATGCACAAGCTGTTTCGAACTGTTTCAGATGGGAAGCATGCCTTTGCCCATTATTATGATGGTTGTAGCTATGAATATAAACGTATAATCATCATAGCCTACATGTTTTTTTTTTTTTTTTGTAAAATCACATAGGTGTGTATGAAATAGTAAGCAAAAACGTTGAATTTGGTCCTATGTGGAAATGCAAAATAAATTGGCACCAGTGTCAATTTTAGCATGTCAATCTTGGTGGGGCAAACTCAACATATATTTTTTTAATGCATGCCAGCAAAGCCACTACACAGCACAACACTAAACAATACATTAATTGCACTATAATGGTGACAAACGGTGCCCATAAACTGTTAGGGCCTGCATAAAGCTGTCCCAACAGCACCATGGAGTGAATCCTTACCACTGCTACACCTGGCTATCAGCGAAGTGTTGTCTGCCAGAGAAACAGTTCATTCAGACTCATTTACTGCCTTTTTAAAAAACATAGCTGATATGGCTGACTTGCTTAAACAAATGTGGTTTCTACTGACAATTGAGATGTACAAACTATGACATAAGGGAATGAGTGGCGCAGTGGTCTAAGGCTGTGCCACTAGAGATCCTGGTTCGAATCCAGGCTCTGTCGTAGCCGGCTGCGACCGGGAGACCCATGGGGCGGCGCACAATTGGCCCAGCGTCGTCCAGGGTAGGGGAGGGAATGGCCGGCAGGGATGTAGCTCAGTTGGTAGAGCATGGCATTTGCAACGCCAGGGTTGTGGGTTCGATTCCCACGGGGGGCCAGTATGAAAAATAAAATAAAAATAAGGTATGCACTCACTAACTGTAAGTCGCTCTGGATAAGAGCGTCTGCTGAATTTTTTTACAAGAGGCAATCCGTAATTTCGATTACGACATTAATGAGCGAGCTAAGACGGACGTAGTCAATATAGCTATTTGTTCAGCACTTTTGAAATGTACAGCGACAGAATTCAGAACATGGGCCGTTCTTACAGTGTTCTCCCTGTACACCAAGTCAGAACCGTAGGATAAATAAAGGGGGCATATATTCGATGATGACATTTCTCTAAAACAGGCTATAGGCTACATGTGCACCACAAAGTCAGAACAGTAGGCTAAGATATGAGGGGGAAAGGGACCACATTTACTATACAACATACACTTAGTATTACTTTCTTAGCTACAGTATACAAATCTCACTGGCATATTACATCATTTATACAGCAGCATACAATACATTTTTGGACTCACTTAAACAGGAAGGTGGCGCAGCTGTCCTTTTTGTGGGCAAATTTTGGCATTAAACTTTGTCATCAAAGTCTGGCATTCTCTGGATTTATGGTGTTTTCAAGACAACTGGGAACTCTGAAAAAAACAAGGTTGAATCATGACGTCAGTGATCTTTAAGTCGGAGCTCTAGAAAGAGGCCTGAGTTCCCGACATGGAATTCCAAGTATTTTCTCAGTCAGTGCTAGTTTTTTTTCCTGAGTTCCCAGTTGTCTTGAACTCACTGAAGTCTGAGATTTCCCAGTTCTGAGTTTGTAGTTGTTTTGAACGCGGCAGAAGTCATGCTGGATTGACAGCATGGCCAATGTATTCAACCTTTTCTGGCCCATGGTGATGCATGTGAATGTTTATCCTTTTAAGCTTGGAAAAGAGACACTTAAACCCAGACTTGGACCACACACCCTCTCCACCGAATAGCAGGCAGGGGAAGAAAAATTGTGATTGCTTTGCAACGCATGCAGTTAGCCACTGATTCCTTCCAAACCACTCATTGTTGTGTAATGTTTATGTCCAATGGCTGATGAGCACCGATACGTTTGATCTATAGTTTCTCTTCATATGACAAGGATTGGAAAGGATTTGCCAGTTGATTGTCTACTTGATTCATGATGACTGCTTGTCTAGCTTGCTAGCTAAGATTTTGAAAGTATGATGTTGACAGGATCAGTCCAATCAAAGCTAAGGTAGATCTAACGTGATTTGGCGTCATTTAATCTGTGGCCAATGACCTTGAGCCTCCTTGGATGGGCACTTCAAATGGAAATCTATGGCAGCACCCAAGGGGGCTTGAACTTTATAGCTCTCCATATACATTTTGCTGTGACGTAGTGTCCCCATGAGTGACAGAACACTGAGCCAATCACAGCGCAACTAGAGAACATTACCATCCCCTACGCTCTGTATTTTCCGCTGGCTGCCCCACCACCACAGAAAGCACTGAGCTAGGCTGAAACACCTGCATTTTGAAGCTGCCTTACTCAAGAATGCAAAAAAGAGACCATGTTTTGTATGCAGCTTTATTAACTCAATAAATATTTTTTTTACATTGTTTGCAAACTGATATGTGGCACGTATTAATGCCAACATAACATGCAAAACCGGCAACAAAAAAACTAAAAAAGTTGTTTTGTTTTGCTAAACAGGTTGGGGCTCAAAACAGGTGGGGCTCTGCCCTGAATGATGGGTCGCCACTGATTGGCACACTCCACTTAACAAGACCATTGCCAAATAAGGCGTGCTGTCATCTGCTTTTATAGTAAGCCTTGAGGTGGTACCACCCAGCACATCTAGAATGGAGTGTATTTCATACCGAACCCTTCCCTTGAGATGATACCGAACCCCTCTCAAGGTGCCTCTACATCACGATTTCAATGGTAGAGTTGAACCACTAGGGGCAAAAAGAGCTAGATTTACTACTCAAAAATCAAAATGCATCCCTTTTGCAACAAACTGTCAAAATGAAGACCAGAATTGACGTGTTTCACCGTAACTAAGCCTAAAACATCTGGGTTTCGATGAAAAACTATGTTTTTTCATTAAAGTTACTCTTTAAGGGAGGTTTAGGAGGGAGGGGATGAGGAGTGACAGGCCCCCAGTCCTCTCTACTGCACTTAGACTTAGACACTTATCTCTCCCTGTGACGCTATCGCTGGTCACAGAAAAGGGGATGTGTGTGTGTGTGTGTGCACGCATGCCTGTGTGTGTTTTGGGGGAGCCTAGGGAGGATGTGCACTTTGCTCTTTTCAGTTGTGGGAGGGCTGGCTGGGAGTGTTGTTCAAGGCCAAATGCCCTCCCCCTTCCCCTCCACCCGCACACCCTCCTAGAGAATGAAGAATAGGGGAAAAGCGGAGGGAATTGTGGGGGAGTTGGGTTCCATGTGAAACTACCTCACATTGCTTCCTCTTTGCTTTTTTGCGATGGTTATGTCCCAAATGGCACCCGAGGTCAAAAGTAGTGCACTATATACAGTAGGGAATAGGGTGCCATTTGAGACACAACCGATGTCCATGTTTACTATTCTGTGGCTCGATTGCTTAATCTGGTATTGTTCTCTGGTGGGAGGCTATATCAATAGCTGTAATATTTTTTTTAGTTCCTCGGCCTGCCCTGGGGTTTGTGTGCTCTTGTCATATTTGTCCACTTAGGAGGGGAAACGAAGATCTTATCTGATCTGTTTACTCAATATTGTTATTCATTATTCACTGTATTTATTCCGCGTGTCACTATTTAAAAAAATTATTTATAAAAATTATCTTGACTCTGCATTGTTGAAAAAGGACCTGTAAGTAAGCATTTCACTGTTAGTCTACACCTGTTGTTTACGAATCATGTGACAAATTAACATTTTATTTTATTTGATCTTCATTAGTTTCTGTTTGCAGTGAGCCACATAACATATGGAGCTGTAGAAAAGCTGACAGAATCTCCCCTGGAAGGTTTTAGAAATGTGTTATGATGCCTGAGGGTGGTTGAGCTGGTAAGGTCACCGCCCTCGGCACCTATGCAGTCCCCTGCCGACATGGAATCAAATCCCAGGCCCAACACACTTCTCTGTCTTAGTGTGGTGACTAACTGTTGACTAATGTGGCTGTGTCGTGTTCTCTTTTCTTGTCTGCTAGGTGACATCACACAGAAGGGCTATGAGAAGAAACGAACCAAGCTGCTGGCTCCCTTCCTCCCTCAGATCACCAGTAAGTCCAGGCCTTTCTCTTCTCTCTTTCTCCTCCTCTTCTCTTTTCATCCTCCTCTTCTTCCTCTTCCTCCCACAGATCACCAGTAAGACACATCTGCTCCTCTTTTTATCTTTTTCTTTCTGTCCCCATTTCTTTGTCGTTGTCCTTCTTTTATATTTTCTTCATAATACACTTTATCTTCTCTCTCATCTTTTCGGTCCGTTCTCCTCCTCCTCTTCTCTCCTCCTCTTCTCTCCTCCCGCTCGACTATTGTCTTCCTCCTTCCTCCTCATTGCTCTCTTCTTGTCTGACCTCTCTTGATATTTGTCATCCACGCGTCTCCTCACCGGGGCAGATGACATGGCAGCAGCGAGTACAAGACATGACTATCTGTTTTCAGCCTAACCCCAGACTCAAACAAATGCCTTTTCAATCAAACTGACAGCAATGACCAAGCTCATCAACTAAGTCAGTTTTGCACCAACAAGTCATTTCTATGGGGAAAGAATGCACAGATGAACCAAAACTGTTCCACAAATAGTGGGTTATTGGACTGACTTCCCCATTATTGTTTTTCCGCAACTGTTTTTGACCTCCCTCTGTCTGTGTGTTCATATGGCGATGGGAGCGTTTATGGCTCTCTGCTGCACTCTAGTGGTGGATGACGGAACAGCTGCATTGCTGCTCAAACGTAGTACAATGGTAGATGCGAAGTGTGATCTTTGAGACAACCCTACCCTTACTCTAACCATAAGTCGGTACCTAACCTTAACCGTTTTACATTTCTATTTTAATGGGGGTGACGTCAGAGTTGGGTCAAACGAGGACGTGGTTAATATAAATCTAGCTGTGTTTTTTTTCTATGCATTGGCAGGACAGAAGGAAGTATCTCGTAAACTCAAGGGCGGGGTGTGTGTCTCTTTGTTAACAACAGCTGGTGCACTCGGGGTTCTGCTTGCCTGAGTTAGAATACCTCATGATAAACTGTAGACCATACTATTTACCAAGAGAGTTTTCATCTATATTTTTCATAGCTGTCTACTTACCACCACAAACAGATGCTGGCGTTAAGACCGCACTCAACGAAGCAAACAAGAAAATGCTCACCCAGAAGCAGCGCTCCTAGTGGCCAGTGATTTTAATGCAGGAAAACAGAAATCCATCTTACCTAATTTCTACCAGCATGTCACCTGTGCAACTAGAGGGGAAAAAACTCTAGATCACCTTTACTCCACACACAGAGACGCATACAAAGCTCTACCTCGCCCTCCATTTGGTAAATCTGACCATAACTCTATCCTCCTGATTCCTGCTTACAAGTAAAAACTAAAATCGTAAGTGACACGCTCTATTCGGAAGTGGTCCGATGAAGCGGATGCTAAGCTACAAGACTGTTTTGCTAGCACAGACTGGAATATGTTCCGGGATTCATCCAATGGCATTGAGGAGTTTACCACATCAGTCACCGGCTTCATTAATAAGTTCATTGATGACGTCGTCCCAACCAGAAGCCATGGATTTCAGACAACATCCGAAAGGAGCTAAAGGCTAGAGCTGCCGCTTTCAAAGAGCGGGACCCTATCCCGGACGCTTATACGACACCTGAAATGACACTCATTGGATGTGGCAGGGCTTGCAAACTATCATGGATTACAAAGGGAAACCCAGCCACGAGCTGCCCAGTGATACGAGCACCAGCTGTTCCAGACCACTGTGTGATCACGCTTTTTGTAGCCGATGTGAGTAAGACCTTTAAACAGGTCAACATTCACAAGGCCGCAGAGCCAGGTGGATTACCCGGACGCATACTCGGAGCATGCGCTGACCAGCTGGCAAGTGTCTTCACTGACATGTTCAACTTCTCCATGACCCAGTCTTTAATACCTACATGTTTCAAGAAGACCACCATAGTCCCTGTGTCTAAGAACGCCAAGGTAACCTGTCTAGATGACTATCGCCCGTAGCACTAAAATCTGTAGCCATAATAGCTTTGAAAGGCTTGCCATGGCTAACATCAACACCATATCCCCCAAACACCCTGGACCCACTCCAATTCGCATACCGCCCCAACAGATCCACAGATGACCAATCTCTATTGCACTCCACACTGCCCTTTCCCACTTGGACAAAAGGAACACCTATGTGAGAATGCTGTTCATTGACTACAGCTCAGTGTTCAACACCATAGTGCCCTTGAAGCGCATCACTAAGATAAGGTCCCTGGGACTGAACACCTCCCTCTGCAACTGGATCCTAGACTTCCTGATGTGCCGCCCCCACGCTGACCCTCAACACAGGGGCCCTTCAGGGGTGCGTGCTTAGTCCCCTTCAATAGTCTCTGTTCACCCTGGTCGCGCACGACTCCAACACCATTATTATGTTTGCCGACGACGCGACGGTGGTGGGCCTGATCACCTGGCAGTGTGGTGACAGGACAACAATCTCTCCCTCAACGTCAGTAAGACAAAGGAGCTGATCGTGGACTACAGGAAACGGAGGGCCGAGCACGGCCCTATTCACATCGACAGGGCTGTAGTGGAGCGGGTCGAGAGCTTCAAGTTCCTTGGTGTCCACATCACTAAGAATCTATCATGGTCCAAACACACCAACAAAGTTCTGAAGAGGGCACGAAAACGCCTCTTCCCACTCAGGAGGCTGAAAAGATTTGGCATGGGACCTTAGATCTTCAAAAAGTTATACAGCTGCACCATCGAGAGCATCTTGAATGGCTGCATCACTGCTTGGTATGGCAACTGCTTGGCATCTGACCGCAAGGCACTACAGAGGGTAGTGCCAACAGCCCAGTACATCACTGGAGCCGAGCTCACTGACATCCAGGACCTCCTATACCAGGCAGTGTCAGAGGAAGGCCCCAAATATGGTCTAAGACTCCAGCCACCCAAGCTACAGACTGTTCTCTCTGCTACCACATTGCAAGCGGTACCAATGCACCAAGTCTATAACCAACAGGATCCTGAACGGCTTCTAGCCCTAAGACTTCTAAACAAGACTGCTAAATAGCTAATCAAATGGCTACCTGTATTGACCCTTTTTTGCACTAACTCTCTTGCACTGACTCTATGCACACACTGGACTCTACCTACACACTCACACATACAGTTGAAGACGGAAGTTTACATACACCTTAGCCAAATACATTTAAACTCAGTTTTTCACAATTCCTGACATTTAATCCTAGTAAGAATTCACTGTCTTAGGTCAGTTAGGATCACCACTTTATTTTAAGAATGTGAAATGTCAGAATAATAGTAGAGAGAATTATTTATTGAAGCTTTTATTTCTTTCATCACATTCCCAGTGGGTCAGAAGTTTACATACACTCAATTAGTATTTGGTAGCATTGCCTTTAAAATTGTTTAACTTGGGTCAAACGTTTCGGGTAGCCTTCCACAAGCTTCCCACAATAAGTTGGGTGAATTTTGGCCCATTCCTCCTGACAGAGCTGGTGTAACTGAATTCAGGTTTGTAGGCCTCCTTGCTCGCACACGCTTTTTCAGTTCTGCCCACACATTTTCTATAGGATTGAGGTCAGGGCTTTGTGATGGCCACTCCAATACCTTGACTTTGTTGTCCTTAAGCCATTTTGCCACAACTTTGGAAGTATGCTTGGGGACATTGTCCATCTGGAAGACCCATTTGCGACCAAGCGTTAACTTCCTGACTGATGTCTTCAATATATCCACATAATTTTCCTTCCTCATGATTCCATCTATTTTGTGAAGTGCACCAGACCCTCCTGCAGCAAAGCATCCCCACAGCATAATGCTGCCACCCCCGTTTGCTTCACTGTTGGGATGGTGTTCTTCGGCTTGCAAGCTACCTCCAAACATAACGATGGTCATTATGGCCAAACAGTTCTATTTTTGTTTCATCAGACCAGAGGACATTTCTCCAAAAAGTACGATCTTTGTCCCCATGTGCAGTTGCAAACCGTAGTCTGGCTTTTGTATGGCGGTTTTGGAACAGTGGCTTCTTCCTTGCTGAGTGACCTTTCAGGTTATGTCAGTATAGGACTCGTTTTACTGTGGATATAGATACTTTTGTACCTGTTTCCTCCAGCATCTTCACAAGGTCCTTTGCTGTTGTTCTGGGATTGATTTGCACTTTTCGCACCAAAGTACATTAATCTCTAGGAGACAGAACATGTCTCCTTCCTGAGCGGTATGACGGCTGCGTGGTCCCATGGTGTTTATACTTGCGTACTATTGTTTGTACAGAAGAACGTGGTACCTTCAGGCGTTTGGAAATTGCTCCCAAGGATGAACCAGACTTGTGGAGGTCTACAATTCTTTTTCTGAGGTCTTGGCTGATTTCTTTTGATTTTCCCATGATGTCAAGCAAAGAGGCACTGAGTTTGAAGGTAGGCCTTGAAATACATCCACAGGTACACCTCCAATTGACTCAAATGATGTCAATTAGCCTATCAGAAGCTTCTAAAGCCATTAAATAATTTTCTGGAATTTCCCAAGCTGTTTAAAGGCACAGTCAACTTAGTGTATGTAAACTTCTGACCCACTGGAATTGTGATACAGTGAAATAATCTGTCTGTAAAGAATTGTTGGAAAAATTACTTGTGTCATGCACAAAGTAGATGTCCTAACCGACTTGCCAAAACGATAGTTTGTTAACAAGACATTTGTGGAGTGGTTGAAAAACAAGTTTCAATGACTCCAACCTAAGTGTATGTAAACTTCCGACTTCAACTGTACTTACACTGACACCCCAACACACACACACACGCGCACACACACATTACATGCACACACGTATACTGTCGCCACACACTCACACACATTTTCACATTGACTACTTATGCTGCTGCTACTGTCTTATCTATCCTTTTGCCTTGTCACTTTACCCCTACCTATATGTACCTATATGAACCTTGGCGTGACCCTGGACAACACCCTGTCGTTCTCCGCTAACATCAAAGCGGTGACCCGATCCTGCAGGTTCATGCTGTACAACATTTGCAGAGTACGACCCTACCTTACACAGAAAGCGGCACAGGTCCTAATCCAGGCACTTGTCATCTCCCGTCTGGATTACTGCAACTCGCTGTTGGCTGGGCTCCCTGCCTGTGCCATTAAACCCCTACAACATATCCAGAACGCTGCAGCCCATCTGGTGTTCAACCTTCCCAAGTTCTCTCATGTCACCCCGCTCCTCCGCACACTCTACTGGCTTCCAGTTGAGGCTCGCATCTACTACAAGACCATGGTGCTTGCCTACGGAGCTGTGAGGGGAACGGCACCTCCTTACCTTCAGGCTCTGATCAGACCCTACACCCAAACGAGGGCACTACGTTCATCCACCTCTGGCCTGCTAGCCCCCCTACCTCTACGGAAGCACAGTTCCCGCTCAGCCCAGTCAAAGCTATTCGCTGCTCTGGCACCCCGATGGTGGAACAAGCTCCCCCATGCTGCCAGGACAGCGGAGTCACTGACCACCTTCCGGAGACACTTGAAACCCTACCTCTTTAAGGAATACCTGGAATAGTATAAAGTAATCCTTCTTCCCCCACCCCCCATTAAAAATAAATAAATAAAAAGTGGTTGTCCCACTGGCTATCATAAGTTGAATGCACCAATTTGTAAGTCGCTCTGGATAAGAGCGTCTGCTAAATGATGTAAATGTAAATGTAAGTAGCTCACAGTTTTTAGTTTGTGTGTCACCTGGAACCAGTGGCCCAGAGTCACCTCTCGGCTCTTTGGTTGTTTCTACTCCCCAGTTTACCGCAGATCTCTGTTCATTGGTTGGTTCTTCTCCCCAGCTTTCCTCAGATCTCTGTTCATTGGTTGGTTCTTCTCCCCAGGATGCCTCAGCTATGTCACACTGTGGTGCGGTGTTTTCTGTGGACACATCTGACTGAGTTATTTGAATGGGGGTAAAGTAATGATAAACGGTCTGTTAGTTAGTAGTAAGGTTATATCAAATTAAATATTGTTTCAGGAGTTGCCTGTCCAAATCCAAAATTGTGTGCCTGTGTGTCTGCATGTACAATGTGCGTGTCAGCGATTGTTTGTGTAAGTGTCAGCGAGTGGGTGTGTGTTTGTGATAGGGCTGGGCGATATATAAAATGAATTAGATTAATTAGAATGTACAGTGCCTTCGGAAAGTATTCAGACCCCTTGACTTTTTCCACATTTTGTTACGTTACAGCCTTATTCTAAAATTGATTTAAAAAAGTATATATCCTCAGCAATCTACACACAATAACCCATAGTGACGAAGCGAAAACAGGTTTTTAGAACGTTTTGCAAATTTATTAAAAATAGAAAACAAAAATACCTTATTTACATAAGTATTCATACCCTTTGCTATGAGACTTGAATTGATCCTAGAGCTGGCCGCCCCGCCAAACTGAGCAATCGGGGGAGAAGGGCCTTGGTCAGGGAGGTGACCAAGAACCCAATGGTCACTCTGACAGAGCTCTAAAGTTCCTCTGTGGAGATGGGAGAACCTTCCAGAAGGACAACCATCTCTGCAGCACTCCACCAATCAGGCCTTTATGGTAGGAAGCCACTCCTCAGTAAAAGGCACTTGACAGCCGGCTTGACACTTAAAGACTCTCAGACCATGAGAAACAAGATTCTCTGGTCTGATGAAACCAAGATTTAACTTTTTAGCCTGAATGCCAAGCGTCACGTCTGGAGGAAACATGGCACTATCCCTACGGTGAAGCATGGTGGTGGCAGCATCATGCTGTGGGGATATTTTTCAGCGGCAGGAACTGGGAGACTAGATCGAGCCAAAGATGAACGGAGCAAAGTACAGAGAGATCCTTGATGAAAACCTGCTCCAGAGCGCTCAGGACTTCAGACTGGGGCGAAGGTTCACCTTCCAACAGGACAATGACCCTAAGCACACAGCCAAGACAACACAGGAGTGGCTTCGGGACATGTCTCTGAATGTCCTTGAGTGGCCCAGCCAGAGCCCGGACTTTAACCTGACCAAACATCTCTGGAGGGACCTGAAAATAGCTGTGCAGCAACTCCCCATCCAACCTGACAGAGCTTGAGAGGATCTGCAGAGAAGAATGGGAGAAACTCCCCAAATACAGGTGTGCCAAGCTTGTAGTGTCATACCCAAGAAGACTCAAGGCTGTAATCGCTGCCAAAGGTGCTTCAACAAAGTACTGAGCAAAGGGTCTGAATACTTATGTAAATGTGATATTTCAATTTTTTTGTATTCATAAATTAGCAAACATTTCTAAAAAAAAGTTTTTGCTTTGTCATTATGGGGTATTATGTGTAGATTGATGAGTAAAAAAACGATTTAATCAATTTTAGAAAAAGGCTCTAACCTAATAAAATGTTGAAAAAGTCAAGGGGTCTGAATACTTTCCGATGTTTTGCGCGATATTCCAAATGCCTGTATCGCAAGAATCAAGGTTTTGTTATTTTTCGTTTTTATGAGCGTTTATGTCCGCTTGTTCTCATGTTGTATTTTTGGTGTCGTCTCCTTCACTCCTCTGTGCTGTGTACACCTTTCCATTTATACCAGAGATCTGTATATAATGACGAGATGCACGTCTCTGCCCTAACAATGGGAGTCGTTGTCCCATAGAAATGCATTGGCCTTAATTTGGACAGATTTTAGCGCTTCGCCTCTTCCTCTGGTTTACACACACACCAAGCCCCTCCCCTGCCTCTCACGCCAACAAAGTTGAGATATCAGACCTTTCTCTCTGACAAGCGGTTTCAACCCCCTATTTGTATTTGAGGTTTGGTCCGACAGAATCGGTCATATGGACACCAAAACACATTGAGACATTATTTTACTGTAATAGAGGAGACGTTAACTTGTGTTTCAACTACTTAAATTGGGCGCAGAGCAGATGCTACTAAAGCGAGAGTATCATTGAACATTGATTCTGGAAAATGTATGCTCAGTTTGTCAGTTTAGCCAAAGACTGATATACTAGCTGTCTACTCTATAAGGAATTGAAATAAGGAATTGGCAAACTGAGAAATAAGGTAGGCCACTTGATTTCAACATCTGAACAAATTGGACAGGCTAACATGCTTTTCAAACAGTTGGAGACAGACAGAAGGGTGTGTTCATAACAATTCAACTGTTCAACCTTGTTAGCTAGCAAATAGATCCAAGTTGGCTAAACTTGAAATATAAAGATTAGCTGGCAAATCACTAGCACATGGGCTTAATATTGTTAATATTGTAATATTCTATAGCCTAATGCCTGCTACAAGAAGTTAGTCATTATTAGTGAATGTGCATTATGCTTGGTTCTAGTTAAATTTGTAACAAAAAAGGGCATTTTCATAGACTTGAAAGCCAGATCAATGATTATTGCAAAAAAAAGCAGGTTAAACTATTTTGATAAAATAATTACATTATTAGTGGGTCTTATGGTTGTGCCTAGGTATAACTTCACACGCCCTGAATTCATTAGATTATTGCTGACTGTTTGAAATGCAGTGTATTATTTAAAGAAAACATTTAAAAAATAGATATACACTAAGTAGCAGTTTGCTGCCACCCATCATGAAAACAGAGCAGGCTAACACTAGCAGTGCTAGCCCACCAGTGTTTTTTTCCATGGCTGTGCACAAATGCGTCAGGTGTGAGACGTTTCCACACAATCACAAGATGAACATAAGGTGGAACTGGAAAATGGACAGGAATTTGTCTGCCCTAAATGCATCACCATCAAGCAGCTTAGGGAAGAGATCCTCCGGCTGTTAGCTCTTCTGCGAGAAAAGGATAACCTTCCTTCTAAGTACACCGACCTTGCTGTAACCCAGGCAAACCACATCTCAGTTTTAAATGCCCCCTATAGCAAAGCTGTCAATGAGTCGGGCAGCGTTGATCTGTCCCAATCCAACGGACACATGTTAAGCTCCGCAGCCCATGGGAGACTGGACACTCGCAAGGCGTAGGAGATCGGGGAGGCAGTCTGGCCACCCTTTATCTATCCGAGAAGGTCCGATAAAGCTATCAAACAGCTTTGTCCCACTTGAGATGGACCTACCAACCCCCGGGAGTCAGCACGGATCCTGGGTGCATACCAACAGCCTGCGGCCGCCCAGTGGCACCCTCCCCCACGGCCACCGCAGTTCAGCAGGTTGCTTCCCCATCGGATTCCATCACGTCCACAATCATTGTGGGCAGCTCGATGATGAGAGATTTTGGCCAGCCTACGATCTGTGGACCGATCAAGGTCCACTGTCACGCTGGAGCCCGTGTCCATGACATCAACTCCCTCCTGCCCACGGTTCTGGCCAACTACTCCAACATTGACACCATCGTCACTCACGTAGGTTTTAACGACCTTCGTTTTAGGCGATCTGAGGGAGGACTACAAAAAAAATGTAAACACCCTTGCTAGCACAGGTAAGATAATAATTATCTCTGGCCCCCTCCTGTGCTACCGAAGGAGTTCGGAAAGTTTCAGCCGACTCTTTGCCCTGAACGAGTACCTGAAGTAACTTTGCAACGACAGGAATGTCTCTTTTTGTGACAACTTTGATTTGCTGTGGTGGGAGCAACCAGCACTTTTTAAAAGAGACGGAATTCATCCTAACCACAGCGTTTCCAGGATTATTTCCTGCAACATTGCAAACTGTTTTAGAGATAGATGGACATGTCTGGTAGTGCTCCAGTTCTCCCTGTCAGAATAAGCAACAGAGGACTTGGAAATCAACTCCTGTAGAAATGGCACTATGGTTATTGTGAGTAACCTAATTTATGTTCCTTTAACTCTGCCTTCTAGTGAGTTTATACAAACTTTTATACGTCAGAAAATGTGGTTGTAACGTTAATAATTTGGTTGTTACTCCATTTGTAACCTCGAGGTAGATGCCCCAGGGGCAGAATGGCCCACACTCATTGAACATGGCACTTTTAAATGTTAGAGCAATCACAAGTAAAACCTTTCTCATGAAAAACTCATTACTGAGTGCAAAGTTGATTGCATGGCCCCGTGTAGCTCAGTTGGTAGAGCATGGCGCTTGCAACAGCAGGGTTGTGGGTTCGTTTCCCACGGGGGGCCAGTATGAAAATGTATGCACTCACTAACAGTAAGTCGCTCTGGATAAGAGCGTCTGCTAAATGACTAAAATGTCAAATGTAAATGTTTCTCACTGAAACATGGCTGTCTTCAGACTGTAGTGCTGCTCTTATTGCAGTCTCCCCCCTGGACTACAGCTTTCCATACTATATCATGAAAGGGGAAAAGGTGGGGGGACAGCCTCTATTTTTACTAATGCTGTGTGACAATTAGAAATGCCAGACGGGCTCATTTTTCTAACTTGATCACTGTTAATCAGAATAATTCACGAGTGCTCTTCTCGACCATTGATGGCCTGATTAATCCTACCCCCGCAAACCTATGTGAACTTTTCTCCACATCTAAATGTGTGCTGAGTTTGTGGCATTTTTCAGAGATAAGATAACCAACATTATGCTGGGTATCAGTCAAGCAAGACCTGATGAGAAGTTTGATGATACCTCGCAAAGGCACTATGGACTTATTTTTCCCTGGTTGATACAGACATGCTCAGGAAAGTGATATCACAATTTAAGCCTTCTACCTGCCTTCTCGATCCTATCCCCACCACCTTCTACAAAACAGTTTTTAATTGCATATCTGAAGAAGAGCAAGCTATTGTTATCACTCCCTGTTCATAGCACTTTCCCCACTGCACTAAAAACTGCTATGGTGAAACCCCTTCTGAAGAAAAGTAATCTAGATTCTTTAACTCTTAGCAATCTTCAGCCAACCTTCCATTCTTAAGCAAAATTCTGGGGAAATTGGTGTTCAAACAGCTAAATGGTTTTTTGAAGTGCCAACTGTGTTTTGGAAAAATTCCAATCTGGTTTTCGTGCCCACCACAACACAGACAGCCTTAGTTAAAGTGGTAAATGATCTTAGAGCGAACACAGATGCCAAACAGCTCTCTGTCCTTGTACTCTTAGATTTAAATGCTGCATTCGACATTGTTGACCATGATGTCCTTCTGGACAGACTGGAGAGGTAGGTTGGCCTCTCCGGTCCAGTTCTAAATTGGTTTAGGACCTATTTAACCGGTCGAGAGTTTTTTGTCACCCTTGGTGAACATAACTCAGAGAAAATACATATCATATGTGGCGTTCCACATGGTTCAATTTTGGGTCTGCAACTGTTCAGTTTATACACTACCAGTCAAAAGTTTGGACACACCTACTCATTCAAGGGTTTTTCTTTATTTTTACTATTTTCTACATTGTAGAATAATAGTGAAGACATCAAAACTATGAAATAACACATATGGAATCATGTAGTAAGCAAAAAAGTATTAAACAAATCAAAATATATTTTATATTCGAGATTCTTCAAATAGCCACCCTTTGCCTTCATGACAGCTTTGCACACACTTTGCTTTTCCTTAAGATGCTTTTTAGTTGTTTAGTTTGTCATTATTTTGTTTTTTTATCTTATGTTTGTTGTGTAGTAAATATTTCAGCTTTTATTTTCATTGTTTTTATTAGTTTTTTCCTGTAAAGCACAGTCTGAAATGTGCTGTATAAATAAAGCTTGATTTGATTTGATGACCGAAAGTATGTGGACACATGCTCTACCAACTGAGCTACAGGAGGCCTGCATCTTCTGTATACCCCCCCTACCTTGTCACAACACAACTGATTGGCTCAAACGCATTAAGAAGGACATTCCACAAATTAACTTTTAACAAGGCACACCTGTTCATTGAAATGCGTTCCAGGTGACTACCTCATGGAGCTGGTTGAGAGAATGCCAAGAGTGTGCAAAGCTGTCATCAAGGAAAAGGGTGGCTTTTTGAAGAATCTCATATAAAATATATTTTGATTTGTTTAACACTACATGGTTACTACATGATTCCAAATGTGTTATTTCATAGTTTTGATGTCTTCACTATTATTCTACAATGTAGAAAATAGTAAAAATAAAGAAAAACCATGGAATGAGTAGGTGTGTCCAAACTTTTGACTGGTACTGTATATGTTACCCCTTGGCAACATTATCAGAAAGCACAGCATAGATTGTCACTGCTACACAGACGACACACAACTTTACATTTGTGTCACCAGAGGATTTTAGCTCCACGGATAAATTATTAGACAATATTAGTGATTTCAATACTTGGATGGCTCACAGCTTCCTCCAGCTAAATCAAGACAAGGCCGAGGTACTTATTGTTGGAGCCAAAGCACAGAGAGAGAATCTTGCTGCACATTTTAATTCACGGGCAATAGAGCTAAAACACCAGGTAAAAAACCTAGGTGTTATTTTAGACTGAACTAAATTTTGAATCACACATTAGGAATGTGACATAGCTTTTTACCACCTGAGGAACATTGCTAAGGTGTGTCCGTTTTCTCTCTCAGGCTGATACAGAGAGACTCATCCATGCTTTTATTACAAGCAGGCTTGACTACTGTAATTCTCTCCTGTCTGGTCTACCCAAGAAAGCAATTGGTCAACTGTAAAACATACAGAATGCTGCAGCACGGTTACTGACCAAGACCAGACGGAGAGCACACATTACACCGGTTTTAAGGTCTCTGCACTGGCTGCCTGTGAGTCCATGATTGTGCACCCCATTACATGTCAGACATACTTTTAAGTTAAGTACCCAGTAGGTTCCTCAGATCCTCTGGCACTGGCCTTTTAACTTTCCCAAAGCCTAGGACCAAGAGGCACGGAGAGGCAGCCTTTAGTTATTATGCCCCCAGCCTCTGGAATAGCCTGCCAGATAACCTGAGGGGGGCTGAAACTGTTGACATATTTAAGAGATCTTAAAACACATGTTTTTAGCTTTGCTTTTCCTTAAGATGCTTTTTAGTTGTTCAGTTTGTCATTATTTTGTTTTTTATCTTATGTTTGTTGTGTAGTAAATATTTCAGCTTTTATTTTCATTGTTTTTATTCGTTTTGTTTTCCTGTAAAGCACATTGCGTTGCATTCCATGTCTGAAATGTGCTGTATAAATAAAGCTTGATTTGATTTGATGAACGAAAGTATGTGGACACCTGCTCGTCGAACATCTCATTCCAAAATCATGGGCATTAGTATGGAGTTGGTACCCCCTTTGCTGCTATAACAGCCCCCACTCTTCTGGGAAGGCTTTCCACTAGATGTTGGAACATTGCTTATGCCATTCAGCAATAAGAGCATTAGTGAGGTCGGGCACTGATGTTGGGCGATTAGGCCTGGCTCGCAGTCGGCGTTCCAATTCATCTCAAAGGTGTTAGATTGGGTTGAGGTCAGGGCTCTGTGCAGGCCAGTCAAGTTCTTCCACAACGATCTTGAAAAACAATTTCTGTATGGACCTCGCTTTGTGCACGGGGGCATTGTCATGCTGAAACAGGAAAGGGCCTTACCTAAACTGTTGCGACATAATTGGAAGCACAGAATCATCTAGAATGTCATTCTATGCTGTAGCGTTAAGATTTATCTTCAATGGAACTAAGAGGCCTAGCCCGTACCATGAAAAACAGCCCTAGAGCATTATTCCTCCTCCACCAAACTTTCCAGTTGGCAGTATGCATTTGGGCAGGTAGCGTTCTCCTGGCATCCGCCAAACCCAGATTTGTCCGTCTGACTGCCAGATGGTGAAGCGTGAGTCATCACTCCAGACGACGCTTGGCATTGCGCATGGTGATCTTAGGCTTGTGTGAGGCTGCTTGGCCATGGAAACCCATTTCATGAAGGTCCCGACGAACAGTTCTTGTGCTGACGTTGCTTCCAGAGGCAGTTTGGAACTTGGTAGTGAGTGTTGCAACCGAAGACAGACGATTTTTATGCGCTACGCGCTTCAGCACTTGGCGGTCCCTTTCTGTGAGCTTATGTGGCCTACCACTTCGCGGCTGAGGTGTTGTTGCTCCTAGACGTTTTCACTACACAGTAACAGCACTTACAGTTGACCGGCGCAGCTCTAACAGGGCAGAAATGTGACGAACTGACTTGTTGGAAAGGTGGCATCCTGTGACGGTGCCACGTTGAAAGTCACTGAGCTCTTCAGTAAGGCCATTATACTGGCAATGATTGTCTATGGAGATTGCATGGCGGTGTGCTCAATTTTATACACCTGTCAGCAACGGGTGTGCCTGAAATAGCAGAATCCACTAATTTGAAGGGGTTTCCAGATACTTTTGTATATATAGTGTAAATCGTGAATCGTCCATAAGTTTGAAAAAATTGAGATATGATTTTTAGGCCATATCGCACAGCCCTAGTTTGTGTGTACTATGTGTTTGTGTGTGTGTGTGTGTGTGTTAAAGCCAGGTGCTGAGTATCTCCTCGTTCCTCTCTCTGTCCAGGTGTGGATCTGCCTCTCCCAGACGTCCAGCAGCAGTCGTCCTCCGGACCTACCAGTGGTGAGCCCAGCCCTGCCAGCCCTGACCGTAGCCCTGCCAGTCCTGAGGCCCCTGGCCCCTCGTCTTCCTCCGGGGGCCGCAGAAACCGCAGCGGGGGAGCCAGGGACGACCGCTACAGATCAGGTACAGACACACACATACTGTACATTTATACATGTCACACACACACACATTCAGATTCCGAAAACATGAAGGTCCTCAATGAGGCAATGTATTTAGCAGCAAACACAATACATTCAGAGGAAATCACAGATTTAGAAGCAACAACATAGCAAAGGAAACAACGGAAGTAGACTAAGTACAGTGGGGGAAAAAAAAGTATTTAGTCAGCCACCAATTGTGCAAGTTCTCCCACTTAAAAAGATGAGAGAGGCCTGTAGGTACACGTCAACTATGACAGACAAAATGAGGGAAAAAAATCCAGAAAATCACATTGTAGGATTTGTAATGAATTTATTTGCAAATTATGGTGGAAAATAAGTATTTGGTCAATAACAAAAGTTTCTCAATACTTTGTTATATACCCTTTGTTGGCAATGACACAGGTCAAATGTTTTCTGTAAGTCTTCACAAGGTTTTCACACACTGTTGCTGGTATTTTGGCCCATTCCTCCATGCATATCTCCTCTAGAGCAGTGATGTTTTGGGGCTGTCGCTGGGAAACACGGACTTTCAACTCCCTCCAAAGATTTTCTATGGGGTTGAGATCTGGAGACTGGCTAGGCCACTCCAGGACCTTGAAATGCTTCTTACGAAGCCACTCCTTCGTTGCCCAGGCGGTGTGTTTGGGATCATTGTCATGCTGAAAGACCCAGCCACGTTTCATCTTCAATGTCCTTGCTGATGGAAGGAGGTTTTCACTCAAAATCTCACGATACATGGCCCCATTCATTCTTTCCTTTACATGGATCAGTCGTCCTGGTCCCTTTGCAGAAAAACAGCCCCAAAGCATGATGTTTCCACCCCCATGCTTCACAGTAGGTATGGTGTTCTTTGGATGCAACTCAGCATTCTTTGTCCTCCAAACACAACGAGTTGAGTTTTTACCAAAAAGTTCTATTTTGGTTTCATCTGACCATATGACATTCTCCCAATCCTCTTCTGGATCATCCAAATGCACTCTAGCAAACTTCAGACGGGCCTGGACATGTACTGGCTTAAGCAGGGGGAAACGTCTGGCACTGCAGGATTTGAGTCCCTGGCGGCGTAGTGTGTTACTGATGGTAGGCTTTGTTACTTTGGTCCCAACTCTCTGCAGGTCATTCACTAGGTCCCCCCGTGTGGTTCTGGGATTTTTGCTCACCGTTCTTGTGATAATTTTGACCCCACGGGGTGAGATCTTGCGTGGAGCCCCAGATCGAGGGAGATTATCAGTGGTCTTGTATGTCTTCCATTTCCTAATAATTGCTCCCACAGTTGATTTCTTCAAACCAAGCTGCTTACCTATTGCAGATTCAGTCTTCCCAGCCTGGTGCAGGTCTACAATTTTGTTTCTGGTGTCCTTTGACAGCTCTTTGGTCTTGGCCATAGTGGAGTTTGGAGTGTGACTGTTTGAGGTTGTGGACAGGTGTATTTTATACTGATAACAAGTTCAAACAGGTGCCATTAATACAGGTAATTAGTGGAGGACAGAGGAGCCTCTTAAAGAAGAAGTTACAGGTCTGTGAGAGCCAGAAATCTTGCTTGTTTGTAGGTGACCAAATACTTATTTTCCACCATAATTTGCAAATAAATTCATTAAAAATCCTACAATGTGATTTTCTGGATCTTTTTGTCTCAATTTGTCTGTCATAGTTGACGTGTACCTATGATGAAAATTACAGGCCTCTCTCATCTTTTTAAGTGGGAGAACTTGCACAATTGGTGGCTGACTAAATACTTTTTTCCCCCGCTGTAAGTGCAATTTCATAAAAATGACACAGACCTCTAACATGCATGGCACCACAGTAGGAGTGGGATGTCTGGGAGCTGCTGCCTTGCGTAGGGATAGTGGTTGGTTCGGATTGTGACCGAGGAGTCTAGTGGACAACAGTTGGTGCAGTGACTGACCTGGTTTTTCCATCCCTGTTTTTCAGTCTGTCCTCATCTTGTTCTCATTCTTCCTCTCCCTCTCTGTCAGATATCCACACGGAGGCGGTACAGGCAGCGTTGGCCAAACACAAGGAGGAGAAGATGGCGCTGCCCATGCCCACCAAGCGCCGCTCAGCCTTCGTCCAGTCACCTGTAGACAACTGCACCCCTCCAGGTCAGTGCCATAGAGATCAAACTATGTTCTATGTTTGAGGGTTGGGGTCAATTCCATTTCAGTTCCACACAATTCAGGAAGTACACTGAAATTCCAATTCTCTTCAATGCTTTTCAATGAGGAGAATTTGGAATTGGAATTTGGTTTACTTTATGAATTGAAATGGAATTGACCCCAGCCCTGCCATGTTTAAGTAGTACACTGTAGTGGTCAATAACTAACCCTGGTCCTGGAGAGCTACAATACAGGGTGCGCACTGTGCAGGCTTTAGTTCCAGCCCGCTACAAAGCTCACCACACGTCATCTGCTAATACATCTCGTTCTGTCTCCGTCAGACACATCGTCAGCATCTGAGGACGAGGGTTCTCTGCGTCGCCAGGCGGCTCTGAGTGCAGCGCTGGCCCAGAGTCTCCAGAGCCCAGACTACTGGATCAACCGCTCAGTGCAGAGCTCCTCCACCTCCTCCTCCGCCTCCTCCACCCTGTCCCACGGAGAAAATAAGACTCAGCCGACCTCCGCGCTAGCCGACATACTGGCAAGCACACGCATAGGTAACACACACTCTGTAAACACACACACACATAACCCACAAATAGGTAACACACACACTCTGTAAACACACACAACCCACACATGGGTAACACACACTCTGTAAATACACACACATAACCCACACATAGGTAACACATACTCTCTGTAAACACACACACATAACCCACACATGGGTAACACACACTCTGTAAATACACACACACAACCCACACATAGGTAACACACACACTCTGTAAACACACACACATAACCCACACATAGGTAACACACACACTCTGTAAACACACACACATAACCCACACATGGGTAACACACACTCTGTAAACACACACATAACCCACACATAGGTAACACACACTCTGTAAACACACACATAACCCACACATAGGTAACACACACTCTGTAAACACACACATAACCCACACATAGGTAACACACACACAACCCACACATAGGTAACACATACACAACCCACACATAGGTAACACACACACCCTGCAAACACGTAATCCATATTCCGCACACGCATTGGTGCACCTGACTCACACACACACACACGGGCGCGCGTGCACACACATAACAACCCTTCATACCCTCAGAGACACTCTTCCTAAATGAACACGTATTGTCTGTAGCTCCACAGCTTTAGGTAAGTTTACCTCGGAGTATTTAACCTCCTTTTCCCTGCTCCCCTTCTCCTCCAGAGAACAGTATCCCCCCAGATGTGACCTCCTACACCCCTGAGAGGGGTTCAAGGGTGGACTCCAGGGTGGACCTGCCCCCCAATGCTATGCCCAGGGTGATGCCCCGAGGACAGAGCCGCACCAGCATGCTGGATACCACCGCTGACGGTATGCACACACACACTGTAGAGCAACAACCACACTCTGTGGAACACACTGTAGAGCAACAACCACACACTGTAGAGCAACAACCACACACTGCGGAACACACTGTAGAGCAACAACCACACACTGCGGAACACACTGTAGAGCAACAACCACACACTGCAGAACACACTGTAGAGCAACAACCACACACTGCGGAACACACTGTAGAGCAACAACCACACACTGCGGAACACACTGTAGAGCAACAACCACACACTGCGGAACACACTGTAGAGCAACAACCACACAATGCAGAACACACTGTAGAGCAACAACCACACACTGCAGAACACACTGTAGAGCAACAACCACACACTGCGGAACACACTGTAGAGCAACAACCACACACTGCAGAACACACTGTAGAGCAACAACCACACACTGCAGAACACACTGTAGAGCAACAACCACACACTGCAGAACACACTGTAGAGCAACAACCACACACTGCAGAACACACTGTAGAGCAACAACCACACACTGCGGAACACACTGTAGAGCAACAACCACACTGCGGAACACACTGTAGAGCAACAACCACACACTGCAGAACACACTGTAGAGCAACAACCACACATTGTGGAACACACTGTAGAGCAACAACCACACACTGCGGAACACACTGTAGAGCAACAACCACACACTGCGGAACACACTGTAGAGCAACAACCACACACTGCGGAACACACTGTAGAGCAACAACCACACCGTGGAACACACTGTAGAGCAACAACCACACACTGCGGAACACACTGTAGAGTAACAACCACACACTGCGGAACACACTGTAGAGCAACAACCACACTGTGGAACACACTGTAGAGCAACAACCACACACTGCGGAACACACTGTAGAGTAACAACCACACACTGCGGAACACACTGTAGAGCAACAACCACACACTGCGGAACACACTGTAGAGCAACAACCACACAGTGCGGAACACACTGTAGAGCAACAACCACACACTGCAGAACACACTGTAGAGCAACAACCACACACTGCGGAACACACTGTAGAGCAACAACCACACACTGCAGAACACACTGTAGAGCAACAACCACACACTGCAGAACACACTGTAGAGCAACAACCACACACTGCAGAACACACTGTAGAGCAACAACCACACACTGCAGAACACACTGTAGAGCAACAACCACACACTGCAGAACACACTGTAGAGCAACAACCACACACTGCGGAACACACTGTAGAGCAACAACCACACACTGTAGAGCAACAACCACACACTGCAGAACACACTGTAGAGCAACAACCACACACTGCGGAACACACTGTAGAGTAACAACCACACACTGTAGAGCAACAACCACACACTGTAGAATAACAACCACACACTGCGGAACACACTGTAGAGCAACAATCACACACTGCAGAATGTACGAGCACACACACACACACACGGCAGCAAACTGGTAACACGCATCAGAAAACCACCACACACACTGCGATCATTCACTGTTTTATCCATAATCTCTAGTCTGTAACATCCTGAATCTGGTGATGGTTTGGCTAACTAACAGTAATCAGGAATGTGGCTGGCAGTTCAGTGTGTTTACCCATTGCTTTGTGATGACTCATTGCTTGTAGTTGTGATCCTACCGTGTTTGACATTGCTATCGCTGCATCCCAAATGACACCCTATTTCCTACATAGTGTACTACTTTTAACCAGAGCCCCCTGGTCAAAGTAGTGCACTACATGTACAGTTGAAGTCGGAAGTTTACATACCTTAGCTAAATACATTCAAACTCAGTTTTTCACAATTCCTGATATTTAATCCTAGTAAAAATTCCCTGTCTTAGGTCAGTTAGGATCACCACTTTATTTTAAGAATGTGAAATGTCAGAATAATAGTAGAGAGAATTAATTATTTCAGCTTTTATTTCTTTCATCACATACCCAGTGTGTCAGAAGTTTACATACACTCAATTAGTATTTGGTAGCATTGCCTTTAAATTGTTTAACTTGGGTCAAACGTTTTGGGGATCCTTCCACAAGCTTCCCACAATAAGTTGGGTGAATTTTGGCCCATTCCTCCTGACAGAGCTGATGTAACTGAGTCAGGTTTGTAGGCCTCCTTGCTCGCACACGCTTTTTCAGTTCTGCCCACACATTTTCTATAGGATTGAGGTCAGGGCTTTGTGATGGCCACTCCAATACCTTGACTTTGTTGTCCTTAAGCCATTTTGCCACAACTTTGGAAGTATGCTTGGGGTCATTGTCCATTTGGAAGGCCTATTTGCGGCCAAGCTTTAACTTCCTGGCTGATGTCTTGAGATGTTGCTTCAATATATCCACATAATTTCCATCCTCATGATGCCATCTATTTTGTGAAGTGCATCAGTCCCTCCTGCAGTAAATACCCCCACAGCATGATGCTGCCACCCCTGTGCTTCACGGTTGGGATGGTGTTCTTCGGCTTGCAAGCCACACCCCTTTTCCTCCAAACATAACGATGGTCATTATGGCCAAACAGTTCTATTTTTGTTTAATCAGACCAGAGGACATTTCTCCAAAAAGTACGATCTTTGTCCCCATGTGCAGTTGCAAACCGTAGTCTGGCTTTTGTATGGCGGTTTTGGAGCAGTGGCTTCTTCCTTGCTGAGCGGCCTTTCAGGTTATGTCGATATAGGATTCGTTTTACTGTGGATATAGATACTGTGTACCTGTTCCTCCAGCATCTTCACAAGGTCCTTTGCTGTTGTTCTGGGATTGATTTGCACTTTTCGTACCAAAGTACGTTCATCTCTAGGATACAGAACGCGTCTCCTTCCTGAGCGGTATGACGACTGCGTGGTCCCATGGTGTTTATACTTGCGTACTATTGTTTGTACAGATGAACGTGGTACCTTCAGGCGTTTGGAAATTGCTCCCAAGGATGAACCAGACTTGTGGAGGTCTACAATTTTTTTCGGAGGTCTTGGCTGATTTATTTTGATTTTCCCATGATGTCAAGCAAAGAGTCACTGAGTTTGAAGGTAGGCCTTGAAATACATCCACAGGTGCACCTCCAATTGACTTCTAAAGCTATGACATCATTTTCTGGAATTTTCCAAGCTGTTTAAAGGCACAGTCAACTTAGTGTATTTAAACTTCTGACCCACTGGAATTGTGATACAGTGAATTTTAAGTGAAATAATCTGTCTGTAAAGAATTGTTGGAAAAATGACTTGTGTCGTGCACAAAGTAGATGTCCTAACCGACTTGCCAAAACTATAGTTTGTTAACAAGACATTTGTGGAGTGGTTGAAAAACAAGTTTTAATGACTCCAACCTAAGTGTATGTAAACTTCCGACTTCAACTGTATATAGGGATTGGAACCCTACCTATGTGAATCCATCAGGATGATTTGGGTGCTCATGCGCATATAAACCTCCCTATTTCTTAATAGTCTATTTTTATTCAGACATAATGACACACTGAGAAGACATAATAACATTGAATGAATCTCACTCACTCTCATCCCCATTCCAGGCGTTGTGTTGGGAATGCTGCTAACATACTATATTTTGTTCTTTTTTGGGGTGGTCCCTTTTTCCGCCGTACGTGTCGTGTCGTTCATAAAAAAAAAGGAAAGAGGAAAGGTAATATGAATCAAAATGGGACGGGGCGATGGAAGGAACAATTCCAATCAGCTTGCTTTTTCACCTCGTCTGTCGCCTGTTCGTCCTGTCTGTCCATCTACTCTTCACAGAGAGAAATATCTTCTGTTTTTGACCCAGAATAAAGTTGTATCTACCTGTTGTGTGTGAGCATTTGTGTCCGTTTGTGCGTGCTTGCCTATTTAATGTCTGAGTGTATGAGTGTGTGTGTCTGTCATTGTGTGTTTGTGTGCGATTGTGACTGTGTGTGTTGTGTGTCTATGATCGTGTGTGATTGTCTGCCTCTACCTCTGTGCTCTCCAGGTGTGCCAGTGAACAGCCGTGTTTCCACTAAGATCCAGCAGCTGCTCAACACTCTGAAGCGGCCCAAGAGACAAGCGCTCAGTGAGTTCTTCCTGGACGACTCCGAGGAGATTGTAGAGGGTAAGAAGCACAGAGAGGACCTGCTCCAAGACTTCCATTCCATAAAATACAATACTTCCATTCCAATACTTACAGCGGCTTCAGAAAGTATTCACACACCTTGACTTTTCCACATTTTGTTGTGTTACAGCCTGAATTTAAAATGGATTAAGATATTTTGTGTCACTGTCCTACACACAATACCCCATTATGTCAAAGTGGAATTAGAAATTTTTAGAAATTAATTAAAAATTAAAAGCTGAAATGTCTTGAGTCAACAAGTATTCAACTCCTTTGTCATGGCAAGCCTAAGTAAGTTCAGGAGTTCAGTTGCTTAACAAGTCACATAATAAGTTGCATGGACTCGCTTAGTGTGCAAAAATAGTGCTTAACAAGATCTTTGAATGACTACCTATCCCACACATACATTTATCTATCCAGCAGTGAATTTCGAACACAGATTCAACCACAAAGACCAGGGAGGTTTTCCAATGCCTCACAAAGAAGGGCACCTATTGGTAGATGGGTATATAAAAAAAAGCAGACATTTAATATCCCTTTGAGCATGGTGAAGTTATTAATTACACTTTGGAGGGTGATAATGACATTGCTCATCCATATATTTATATATTCTTATTCCATTCCTTTACTTAGATTTGTGTGTATTAGGTTTTTGTTGTGGAACTGTTAGATATTACTTGCTAGATATTGCTGCACTGTCAGAACTAGAAGCACAAGCATTTAGCAACACTCGCAATAACATCTGCCAACCATGTGTATGTGACCAATAAATTGTATTTGATTTGATCAAGACACCCAGTCACTACAAAGATACAGGCGTCCTTCCTAGCTCAGTTGCCGGTGAGAAAGGAAACCGCTCAGGGATTTCACCATGTGGCCAATGGTGACTTTAAAACAGTTACAGAGTTTAATGGCTGTGATAGGAGAAAACTGAGGATGGATCAACAACATTATAGTTACTCCACAATACTAACCTAATTGACAAGAAGGAAGCCTGTACAGAATTTATAAAATCCAAAACATGCATCCTGTTTGCAATAAGGCACTAAAGTAATACTGCAAAAAAAAATGTTTGGTGAAATACAACACATTACTAAGTACCACTGTCCATATTTTCAAGGAAATTCACCTTTCAGCAGGACAATAACCTAAAACACAAAGCCAAATCTACACTGGCGTTGCTTACCAAGAAGACAGTTTTGACTTAAATTTGCTAGAAAATCTATGGCAAGACCTGAAAATGTTTTGTCTAGCAATGATCAACATCCAATTTGACAGAGCTTGAAGAATTTTGAAAATAATAATGGGCAAATGTTGCACAATCCAGGCGTGGAAAGCTCTTAGAGACTTACCCAGAATGACTCACAGCTGTAATCGCTGCCAAAGTATTTACTCAGGGGTGTGAATACTTATGTAAATGAACTATTTCTGTATTGAACTATTTCTGTATTTCATTTTCAATACATTTGCAACAATTTCAAAAAACATGTTTTCACTGGGATTGTGTGTAAATGGGTGAGGAAAAAAAATCAATTTAATCCATTTTGAATTCAGGCTGCAACACAACAAAACGTGGAATAAGTCAAGGGGTATCAATACTTTCTGAAGGCACAGTAAATTCAAATACTTACATTCCATTGAATACATCCATTCCTCATCCCTGTCTCCTCCCCTCTCCGTAGTGCCCCAGCCGGACCCCAACACCCCCAGGCCAGAGGGCCGTCAGATCATCCCAGTGAAGGGGGAGCCCCTGGGGGTGGTCAGTAACTGGCCCCCGGCCCTCCAGGCGGCCCTGGCACGCTGGGGGGCCACACAGGCCAAGAGCCCCGCTCTCACCGCCCTGGACGTTACCGGAAAACCCCTCTACACGCTGACATATGGTAGGTCTCACCGTTTTAAATGGATCTATACTCCCTCTATAGCAGGGAATAGGGAACATTTTATTTTTGATTTAACCTTTATTTAACTAGGCAAGTCAGTTATTCAAATTCTTATTTACAATGACGGCCTACGAAGAGGCAAAAGGCCTCCTGCGGGTACGGGGGATAAAAAATATAAATGTAGGACAAAACGCACATCACGACAAGAGAGACACCACAACACTACAAAAAGAAAGACCTAAGATAACAACACAGCATGATGAGGGCTGCAGTAGGTATCTCAGATGGGGGGAGTGAGGCCTAAGAGGGTTTTATAAATAAGCATCAACCAGTGGGTCTTGCGTCAGGTATACAGAGATGACTAGTCTCCCGAGTGGCGCAGTGGTCTAAGGCACTGCATCGCAGTGCTAGCTGTGCCACTAGAGATCCTGGTTCGTATCCAGGCTCTGTCGTAGCCGGCCACGACCGGGAGACCCATGGGGCGGCGCACAATTGGCCCAGCGTCGTCCAGGTAGGGGAGGGAATGGCCGGCAGGGATGTAGAGCATGGCGTTTGCAACGCCAGGGTTGTGGGTTCAATTCCCACAGGGGGGCCAGTATAAAAAAAAATAAGATAATGTAAGTCGCTCTGGATAAGAGCATCTGCTAAATGACTAAAATGTAAATGACCAGTCTACAGAGGAGTATAGAGTGCAGTGATGTGTCCTATAAGGAGCATTGGTGGCAAATCTGATGGCCGAATGGTAAAGAACACCTAACCGCTCGAGAGCACCCTTACCTGCCGAACTATAGATTACGTCGCCGTAATCTAGCATGGGTAGGATGGTCATCTGAATCAGGGTTCGTTTGGCAGCTGGGGTGAAAGAGGAGCGATTACGATAGAGGAAACCAAGTCTAGATTTAACCTTAGCCTGCAGCTTGGGATATGTGCTGAGAGAAGGACAGTGTACTGTCTAGCCATACTCCCAAGTACTTGTATGAGTTGACTACCTCAAGCTCTAAACCCTCAGAGGTAGTAATCACACCGGTGGGGAGAGGGACATTCTTCTTACCGAACCACATTACCTTTGTTTTGGAGGGGTTCAGAACAAGGTTAAGGGCAGAGAAAGCTTGTTGAACACTAAGAAAGCTTTGTTGTAGAGCATTTAACACAAAATCCTGGGAGGGACCAGCTGAGTATAAGACTATCATCTGCATATAAATGGATGAGCGTGCTTCCTACTGCCTAAGCTATGTTGTTGATGTAAATTGAGAAGAGCGTGGGGCCTAGGATCGAGCCTTGGGGTACTCCCTTGGTGACAGGCAGTGGCTGAGACAGCAGATGTTCTGACTTTATACACTGCACTCTTTGAGAGAGGTAGTTAGCAAACCAGGCCAAAGACCCCTCAGACACCAATACTCCTTAGCCGACCCACAAGAATGGAATGGTCTACCGTATTAAAAGCTTTGGCTAAGTCAATAAAAATATAGAAATTGGCCTATAACAGTTAGAATCAGCTTGATCTCCCCCTTTAAATAAAGGACGCACCGTGGCTGCCTTCCAAGCAATGGGAACCTCCCCAGAGAGGAGAGACCGGTTAAAAGGTTCAGAGATAGGCTTAGCGATTATAGGGTCTGCAACCTTAAAGAAGAGAGGATCTAAACCATCTGACCCACATGTTTTTTTGGGGTCAAGTTTAAGGAGCTCCTTTAGCACCTCACTCAGTGACCGCCTGCAGGGAGATGCAGTGTAGCGGGGCAGGGGAAAAAGAGGGAGGAGCATCGGGGCTAGTCGCATTAGAAGGGCTAGGAGATGAGCAAATGTTGGACGGGCAAGGAGGCATGGCTGAGTCAAATAGGAATCCTGACTTAATGAAGTGTTGATTAAAGAGCTCATCCATGCGCTCCTTGTCAGTAACAACCAGATCATCAACATTAAGGGACATGGGCAGCTGTGAGGAGGAGGGTTTATTCTCCAGGTCTTTCACCGTTTTCCAGAACTTCTTGGGGTTAGACCCACAGAGAGAGAACTGCTCCTTAAAGTAACTAACTTTGGCCTTCCGGATAGCCTGAGTGCACTTATTTCTCATTTGCCTGAACGACAGCCAGTCAGCCTGAGTATTTATGTGCCGAGCCTTTCGCCAAATGGTGTTCTTGAGGTGGAGTAACTCTGCCAGATCACTGTTGAACCAGGGGCTGAACCTGTTTCTAATTCTCATTTCTCTTTATGTGGGCGTGTTTGTTAACAATACCACAGAAAATCTTTAAAAAAGAAGGTCCAAACGTCTTCGACAGAGGGGATCAAGCTGATTCTATACCAATTTACAGAGGCCAGGTCATGAAGGAAGGCTTGCTCATTAAAGTTTTTCAGCAAGCGTCTATGACAAATCAGGACAGGTCGTTTAACTGAGCAGCCATTACGAACACATGCTATAAAACAGTGATCACTAAGGTCATTACAGAAAACACAAGACTGATACCTATCAGGATTATTTGAGAGGATAACATCAAGGAGTGTATCCTTTTCTGGGTGTTTGGAGTCATACCTTGTGGGATTGGTAATAATCTGAGAGAGATTTAGGAAGTCCCATTATTTTAGGACTTGGTCAGGTGGTTTAAGCATGTCCCAGTTTAGGTCACCTAGCAGGACAAATTCAGACTTAGTGTAAGGGACCAGGAGAGAGCTTAGGGCAGGTAGGGTACAGGCCGGTGCTGATGGTGGACGATAACACCCAGCAACAGTCAACAAAGAGCTATTTGAAAGCTTAATGCTTAAAACCAGCAAATCTAATTGTTTGGGGACAGACCTGGAGGAGACAACAGAGCACTGAAGGTGTTCCTTGGTAAAGATTGCCACTCCACCACCTTTGGAAGATCTGTCTTGCCGAAAAAGTTTATAACCAGAAAGGTTAACATCAAGTGTTCAAAACACTCTTTCTTAACAACATCTCAGTAATGACCAACACATCTGGATTGGAGCTGTGAACCCACACTTTCATTTGATACATTTTAGGTAATAAGCTTCTAGTGTTAATGTGCAGAAAACCCAGGCTTTTACGAGAGCAGAAATCAGTGAAGCAGAAATCTGAGCACAAGTCAGAATTGGGGCTAACAACAGGGTGTACATGCACATTTCCAGATGTCATCAGCAGTAATACAATCAGGGCACAGCAGAGGACAGGGAGAGCTCTGCAGTATTGATTTTTTATGACATTTGAATGTGCATCAGATGGTAACAAGATCCTATTGTTCAGCAAATTCATCAGGTAACGGGAATACAAAGCTGGCGAGAGGTGGTTAGAATAGGATGGGAGGCCAAGAGTCTGTGTAACCAATAGAGAGTCGCGAGTGTGGGAACAAACATTGTCTTTCCCACGGTCGGGTAAACAAGCAAGTTCATAGTGAACAACGCACGCAGGAGTCAAAGGGCAAATAGCATAAAGCACAAGAAAATAATCAAACGACTTGGGGCTAGCCATTGAAGTTCAAAGAGTCACTCGCCCCAACAAGAAACTTGAGAGAGTAGCTCACTATGAGTCCAGTAGGCTATAAAAGTCTGAGATAAAATAAATAAATAGTAGGCCTATACTAATTAATTAAAGCATTTGAGTAAGCTCACATAATAAGCTTCACAGGTAAATTAGCCTACATAAAATTCAGATCAATCCAAAGTCTGCGGTGTGTGTGTATGTGCGTGTGTGCTGGAGGCGAGTGAAAGCTCGGGAGAGAGGGGGCAGTGTGGCGGGGGTACCTGTACCAGACAGGGGGAGACAGGCCAGGGCAGACGGGGAACAGATCGGCGGGTGGGATCCAAGCAGCAGGCAACGGGAGTAGGTGTCACACCCGCTTGGGAGAAGCTTTTTGGGGGGAACTGAGTAGGAGAGGAGGCGTTCAACCTTACCAGACAGGTGCGTGTTAGAGCAGATAAAAACGTCCGAAGTGAGACCGTGGTAAAGTTGGCTTGAGTTTCGATATTCGCCAGACATTCGGGCCTTCAAACATCAATCGACCTGAGATGTGGGTGTTCTACACGCAACATGGTAGGGGGCTTCCCAGTCATTACAAGTGTAACATGAAACCCACAGACCTGGAGGACGCTGCTGCCAACCGCTCCACCTGCCGGCAGCTCTGCCAGAGCGGTGTACAGAGGTGGGAGGAGGATTGCAGGTGTCTCAAATCGGACTTCTTCAGTTTATGACTCATGCTATGTAGTTCGTCTACACAAAAGATCACACTCCTCTCAGTCAATCTATGGAGAGCTCAAGTCGTTTAGTCTCCTCTAAGAAATTGCTCTTGTGACCATGGTGTATCTCCCCTTCTCTCTCTCTCTCAGGTAAACTGTGGAGCCGCAGTCTGAAGCTGGCCTACACTCTGTTAAACAAACTGGGCACCAAGAACGAGCCTGTCCTGAGACCTGGAGATAGGGTACGTGGCCAAAACACACAGCCATTCACAAGGGATGACAGATGCACTTTAGAAAACAGAAAATACTTATACTCTTCCCTTCTTCACACTTTACCACTTTGATTGATTGGTCTTTATTCAAAAACATGCACAGACGACACAATACATAATGTAAGATATTCCCATTGTGACGCGCTGTACTCTTTCTGAAACTGTACTGTGTGTCTATGTCCCCTAGGTGGCGCTGGTGTACCCCAACAGTGACCCTGCGATGTTCTGGGTGGCCTTCTATGGCTGTCTCCTAGCAGAGGTCATCCCTGTAGCCATAGAGGTGCCACTGTCTCGACAAGTAAGGAAAAGGATGTTGAGTGTTTTATAGTGACATCATTAGATGGGAATTAGCTATGTAGCTCAATCTCATGGAATATTTGGTTCCTGACAAATAACCAAATCAAATCAGAGTAGCATAAATTCAGCTTTCAGTCACTATGCAGTAGACATGGGCCAGTTCTTACCAGCTATAGCCGCACAAACAACATAGCTGGATTCAAGTGGTTACCTGACTCATTATAGACCGACAGTGGCGGTGTAGTTTTTCTGTCGATTTGTAATGGTTACCTTTGTGTTTCACATCCCAGGACGCAGGCAGTCTTCAGATTGGCTTCCTATTGGGCAGCTGTGGCGTAGGCCTAGCCCTGACTAGCGAGATCTGTCTCAAAGGACTGCCCAAGACACCCCAGGGAGAGATCATGCAGTTCAAAGGTCAGCACACACACATGCACACATGCAAACACACACACAAACACACCACAAAAGCTCCACTGCAGTCGTCACCCCTCTCACTCTCTCTGGGACTCATTAGCTAGACACATTAGGAGGAACCCGTTGTCCATTATAATGTTTATGTGTAGGTAGATGTCAATTTGTACATCCATTGTCCCATATGAACGAAACAAGAGGCCTACACACTAATGGTCCTAATACCACCTTTTAATAGCTACAACGTTTCGATCCAAGGTGGATCTTTGTTCAGTCGTCAAACTGACTTCTAGTATTGTCCTGTGTATGCTGATGATGTTGTTGTTCTGCCTCCCAGGTTGGCCCCGTATGAAGTGGGTTGTGACAGACACCAAGTACCTGACCAAGCCCTCGAAAGACTGGCAGCCCCACATCCCCACTGCCAACACAGACACAGCTTACATCGAGGTGAGACCAGCGTCCTTGTGGGAAGTGTACAGACCATTATGTGTGTATTTGATGGAAATGTGTGTTTTTTTTCTTGTTTGTCTTTCTGTTTATGTCGTGTAGCGCAGATTTATTTTGTGAATGAACTCAACTCTATGACTGATTGTGTGTTGTGTTGTGCTCTCCCAGTACAAGGCCAGTAAAGAGGGGACAGTGATGGGAGTAGCAGTGTCCAAGATAGCCTTGTTGACCCACTGTCAGGCCCTGACACAGGCCTGCAACTACTGTGAAGGTCAGTACATGAAAACACACACAGACACATATTGTCTTAGTGACAATATATCTACACAAGCCCTCTTAGTAACCTAGATACACATCGATGACCAAAACGAGTTTGTTAAGCAAGGAGGAACAGAAAGAAGCTAAGGGAGCTGGAACCTTTGGAGGGGGTTAGGGTAATGTTGTTACTCTTGTCTTCACCACGGATACTCACGCTAAGGTTAAATCATTGATCAGGCCTGAGGCCTCTTCTCCTGTACTCTCTCTCTCGTAGAAGAAGCCCTCTCTCTCTCTCTCTCTCTCTCCGTCTTTCTGTCTCTCTCTCTTCTCTCCTCTCCTCTCTCTACTCAGATCAGCTGTTAGACAAAGGGAACTTGAGCCTCTGTGTCTCAGAGAACATTAGATCCTGTGAGGGGAATCCACAGAGGCAGGCAGCAAGACTGTTCCTGGAACACTGTGTTTCCCTGTCCATAATTAGTTTAGCTTTATTGTAGCCTACAGACTTACAGTGAGGGAAAAAAGTATTTGATCCCCTGCTGATTTTGTACGTTTGCCCACTGACAAAGAAATGATCAGTCTATAATTTTAAAGGTAGCTTTATTTGATCAGTGAGAGACAGAATAACAACAACAAAATCCAGAATAACGCATGTCAAAAATGTTATAAATTGATTTGCATTTTAATGAGGGAAATAAGTATTTGACCCCCTCTCAATCAGAAAGATTTCTGGGTCCCAGGTGTCTTTTATACAGGTAACGAGCTGAGATTAGGAGCACACTCTTAAAGGGAGTGCTCCTAATCTCAGTTTGTTACCAGTATAAAAGACACCTCTCCACAGAAGCATTCAATCAATCAGATTCCAAACTCTCCACCATGGCCAAGACCAAAGAGCTCTCCAAGGATGTCAGGGACAAGATTGTAGACCTACACAAGGCTGGAATGGGCTACAAGACCATCGCCAAGCAGCTTGGTGAGAAGGTGACAACAGTTGGTGCGATTATTTGCAAATGGAAGAAACACAAAATAACTGTCAATCTCCCTCAGCCTGGGGCTCCATGCAAGATCTCACCTCGTGGAGTTGCAATGATCATGAGAACGGTGAGGAATCAGCCCAGAACTACATGGGAAGATCTTGTCAATGATCTCAAGGCAACTGGGACCATAGTCACCAAGAAAACAATTGGTAACACACTACGCCGTGAAGGACTGAAATCCTGCAGCGCCCGCAAAGTCCTCCTGCTCAAGAAATCACATATACAGGCCTGTCTGAAGTTTGCCAATGAACATCTGAATGATTCAGAGGAGAACTGGGTGAAAGTGTTGTGGTCAGATGAGACCAAAATCGAGCTCGTTGGCATCAACTCAACTCGCCGTGTTTGGAGGAGGAGGAATGCTGCCTATGACCCCAAGAACACCATCCCCACCGTCAAACATGGAGGTGGAAATGTTATGCTTTGGGGGTGTTTTTCTGCTAAGGGGACAGGACAACTTCACCGCATCAAAGGGACGATGGACGGGGCCATGTACCGTCAAATCTTGGGTGAGAACCTCCTTTCCTCAGCCAGGGCATTGAAAATGGGTCGTGGATGGGTATTCCAGCATGACAATGACCCAAAACACACGGCCAAGGCAACAAAGGAGTGGCTAAAGAAGAAGCACATTAAGGTCCTGGAGTGGCCTAGCCAGTCTCCAGACCTTAATCCCATAGAAAATCTGTGGAGGGAGCTGAAGGTTCAAGTTGCCAAACATCAGCCTCGAAACCTTAATGACTTGGAGAAGATCAGCAAAGAGGAGTGGGAAAAAATCCCTCCTGAGATGTGTGCAAACCTGGTGGCCAACTACAAGAAACGTCTGACCTCTGTGATTGCCAACAAGGGTTTTGCCACCAAGTACTAAGTCATGTTTTGCAGAGGGGTCAAATACTTATTTCCCTCATTAAAATGCAAATCAATTTATAACATTTTTGAAATGTGTTTTTCTGGATTTTTTTGTTGTTATTCTGTCTCTCACTGTTCAAATAAACCTACCATTAAAATTATAGACTGATCATGTCTTTGTCAGTGGGCAAATGTAGAAAATCAGCAGGGGATCAAATACTTTTTCCCTCACTGTATCATGTGATATAAAGCTATTATTAAATTCCCTGTGGCAGCCTAGCTATATGGAGGAGGTGATTTTGGTATCCTTAAGTGTCCATGTATCTGTAACCTTTGAAATGTTTGAATCCTTCGTGACTGTAATGTGATTTGTGGATTGAAATAAAGTATTTCAATTGAGTGTGTGTGTCCTCTCAGGAGAAACGTTGGTCAACGTGCTAGATTGTAAGAAGGACATGGGCTTGTGGCACGGGGTGTTAACCAGTGTGATGAACAGGATCCACACCATCACTGTACCCTACGCTGTCATGAAGGCCTGTCCCATGTCCTGGGTGCAGAGGGTCCACATACACAAAGGTAAGGCTACAGTTAAATCAAATCAAATGCGCCGAATACAACAGTGAACCGCTTACTTACAAGCCCTTAACCAACAATGTTAGCATTTGTATTGTAAACTGCATAGAGACTAGCATCCTAAACTGCATACTATGGATTAAGGTAATTTGGGTTGGGTTCATTAGGAGACGTTGTAGCAAAATGTTTTAAGATCTTGTCCGCGGGAAAATGAAAACAAGCGTTTCTTATTGGACAAATTCAGATATTACCTCTCCGTTTCACTCTGTTTTGGACCGTTTCTTCCATTTTGTGCCTTAACGAACACAACCTAAATGTTTGGAATTAGCATTAGCACTTGTATCATTAACTACTATGTGTTGAGGTTCTGAGATGTGTGAGGCTGAGCTGTCCCTACTGTTCCTCCCTCCCTGCAGCACGTGTAGCCTTGGTGAAGTGTCGTGACCTCCACTGGGCTATGATGGCTCACAGGGACCAGAGAGACACCAACCTGTCCTCCATACGCATGCTCATAGTAGCCGACGGAGCCAACCCCTGTGAGTCACACACACGTGCGCGCGCTACAGACACATGGACGCTTCGGACACACACACTCACACACACACACACACAGGGACCAGAGAGACACCAACCTGTCCTTAACCTTTCCTGTGAGTTGCATATACATAACAGCCATGGCGCATGATTGCTTTATTTATCTATTCCCAAGACTATTATTTTTCCTTAGAAAGGTACCCTGTGATTTAGTATTTGTAAGCTACAGTGCATCCGCCGGTCAAGAATCACATCTAACCTTATCAAATTGATTCCTAAGTACATTGGAAGTATAGAAATGTTTGCATTGTGTGTGGATATTGACGCACACTCACTGTGTTTGTGATGTCTTTCAGGGTCTGTGTCGTCGTGCGATGCCTTCCTCAACGTGTTCCAGTCTCATGGGTTGAAGCCGGAGGTCATCTGCCCCTGTGCCTCCTCTCCTGAAGCCCTCACCGTGGCTATACGCAGGTGCTTCACTACACCAGTCCACAGCTACTGATGCACCGTATAACTCATATATACTGTACATACAACCTCTAAGGAAACATACACACAACACATTTCCCGTGCTCATGTAGTAAATGGACAATAAAATGATGTTCTTCACAACAATTATGAAAACGTATGTCTCCATGTCTCTCTCACACTCTGTATTTTCTTTGCCCTTACTCCCCCTCTCCCTCCCTCCCCTTCCAGGCCTGGTGCCCGTGGTGCTGCCCTCCCAGCCAGAGCTATCCTGTCCATGGGCGGTCTGAGTCACGGGGTCATCAGGGTCAACACAGAAGATAAAAACTCTGCCCTCACTGTACAGGACGTGGGCCATGTCATGCCTGGAGGTCAGTGAACTGACTTTACCTCGCACCACACTACAGTACACACGTTTACATGCTGTTTGTGTACTGTTACTGTTAAATTCCCTTTAACAGTTGTTCCTCACTGACCTACTTTATCAGTGGTGGTTTTACTGTCATGTCAATGTCACTTCCCTGGTGTTAATTCTACTTGGCTCAGCGTTTTAGTCATTGCTTCAATAAAACATTGATTTTATATCGCACTTATCATGGACCCAAAGACTCTTTGGGAAGTTAGTTTCTAATGTGTGTTTGCTTTGTGTGTTTTAGCCCTAATTGTCATTGTCCTCTTGGGTTTCAGCTCTGATGTGTATCGTGAAGCCAGACGGGCCTCCACAGCTCTGTAAGACAGATGAGATCGGAGAGATAGTGTTGAACTCCAGGGCTGGAGGAACCATGTACTACGGCCTGCCTGGAGTCACCAAGAACACCTTCGAGGTCAGGAGAGGACTGTTTACTGAACTCTCTCATCAAGCCTCTGCATCTCTGACCACAGTGTGACGTACTGGCACTGTTCTGTAGCCATCAACCTAAAAACATTACTCCTCTGTCAGAGCATTACACTTCTAAAAGCTCTACCCCACCTTTATTCTTCACTGGGCATGGTTGCCTATGGTCTCTATACGCTTTAAACTGAGTTGAGGAGTTGTGTTGACAGTAAAAATGTGTTGTTAATGTGATGTTTTGAAATGATGGTCATTATAACATATATTTAATACAGGCCCTTCCATAACCCCCATAGCTGAACGTGTGTCCCTCTGTCTCCGTGCAGGTGATTCCTGTGAACCAGGCTGGAGCTCCGATAGGAGAGATCCTCTTCACTAGGACTGGTCTTCTGGGCTTTGTAGGACCGGTAAGACAACATTTAGTCGCCTTGGACTTGCCTCCAAATTGTAGGACTTGCCATACTGTCCTAGCCTGGCTGCCAGTCCTTTCTCTTGCCAACTCCTTATTGAATTGTCCTGCCATACAGTCTGGCTGAATGATAAAAAGTTCATACTTATAGTTTGCAGTGAGGCCAGACAGTTTGGCTTGACACCTATGGAGTTGGCAAGAGCACAAACAGATCTGGGACCAGGCAAATACTGATCTGGAGAAATAGAAGAAACATGTCTATCTAGAATTGGCTTCTTGAGGCTATTGATGTGCAGTGTGTTAGGACCTTCTCTCTTTCTCACCCCCCGTCCCTCCCTCCCTCCACAGGGCAGTCTGGTGTTTGTAGTGGGGAAGAACGAGGGGCTCCTGACAGTCAGTGGTAGACGACACAATGCTGATGACCTGGTGGCCACCGCCCTGGCCGTGGAGCCTGTCAAAACTGTCTACAGGGGGAGGTGGGTGTCGGGGGCTCAGGTTTCTAGTATGAATGTACACATGCTGTGTTCAAGTGTGCTTTTGTTGAATTGGGGTTTGAGGAGGGAGATGAGATGAACAGAAGCCTCTGGGTCCTGTTTAGTAGGCACAACACTGGAGAAAACATGTTGGATCAGTTTCAAATGTAATCTCTGTGTTGTGCTGACCTTAAGTGATGTACGAGGGTGGCTTGAGGGTGTGGTATGAGAGTGTGCGGTGCTGTGTTGGGTCGCGCTGTCCTTCCTCTCGGCACCGGGGCAAGATCACTGTGTTCCCTGTGACAGTGTTCCCTGGTGTACTGTGTGTTGTGTTGTCGGAGCATGTTGTTTTTGGTGTTGTGTGTGTGTGTGTGTTATGGTAGTTCACTGGGTTGTGTGTTATTGCTGACCGACCCTCTCTCTCCCCTGGTGTAGGATTGCGGTGTTCTCAGTGACCGTGTTCTATGACGAGAGGATAGTGATCGTAGCAGAGCAGAGACCTGATGCCAGCGAAGAGGACAGCTTCCAGTGGATGAGCAGAGTACTACAGGTACCCTGTCACGTCACCTACACGGGATCTATGCATTCATCTAGAATAGCATCTATCAATGTGTCTTTCAGTCACAGTTAGTACATCTAGTCGGTCTATCTTCTATCAATATGTACACTGTTATAGTTAGTAGACCTAGCTAAACATAACCATCATGCTGTGTTTTCCTCTGTAGGCCATAGACAGTATTCATCAGGTGGGTTTGTACTGTCTGGCCCTGGTCCCGGCCAACACGTTACCCAAGACCCCGCTGGGAGGGATCCACATCTCTGAGACCAAACAGAACTTCCTAGAGGGGAACTTGCACCCCTGTAACATCCTCCTGTGTCCACACACCTGTGTCACAAACCTGCCCAAACCACGACAGAAACAGCCAGGTAAAGACAATGGGCTGTCCTGAATGTTGGGGGAAGGTCAGTTCACGAACTGGCGTGATTCGGGATTGTATCTCGCATCTTGTACTCTTGTGTGTTTGTATACACAGCAGGGCGATAATGATGGCTAACCTAGTGTCTCAGTCTTTGCTCTCTTTATGTATCTCTGACTCTTCCATCCTCCTATCCTGTATAGTTGGTGTGGGCCCGGCCTCTATCATGGTTGGTAACCTGGTAGCGGGGAAGAGGATGGCCCAGGCTGCAGGCAGAGAGCTGGGGGTGGTGGAGGAGGAGGGCCTGGTCAGGAAGGTAAGACCTAGCATACCTGGTGAGACTGGTACCTACTGTCTCTCTTCTCTCCTAATCAGACTGATGCCTGGAATAAACCACATCACAACTGATTTTACCAGTAATGACTAAACCGTATTATTGTACTAAAGAGCTTGTCCACGCAGACTAAAGCCCTGCCAGGATCCTTATATCTGGTATGGAGTCAGGGATGGGTGACTATTGCTGATTTCCTGTCCTAAGGTTGTGTTGTGTTCTGTCTTTACTGTTGGTGGCGCTGGTAGCTCTGTTCTTGGCCCACCATGATGGTAAGTCAATCCCTAGCAGAGCTGGGTGTGGCTTCTGCTCCTGTTGCCTCTGTCAGATGTGCTGCTTTGCAGTGATAGTCGTTGTGTGTACACCTCTGCTGCAGGCTGTGGTTGAGAAGGGAAGTGTGCAACAGAGAGGTCACTATATCAGTGTGTGTTTTTCCTGTGGCTGCTAGCCTGCTACTGTAACTGTACAGTGTCCCTTACCGTCCTGTTCTTGTACCCTGGTCTTTGGTTGTGTGATCGGCCCTGAACAGTCCTGAACTGAAATCTGTAATATCAGTATTGAATGAGCCTGACTGCTCTCACAGCTCACCTCCTCTCTCTCGCTCTCTCCCTCTCCTCTCAGCACCAGTTTCTGTCTGAAGCCTTACAGTGGAGAGCCCAGACCGACCCTGACCACGTCCTCTATGTGCTGCTCAACGCTAAGGTACACTCATGTTCACAAGTTTTTTTATGAGCTTATAAGCATTAACATGGTTGTGTTACGGAGGTAGTTTGGAACCATGCTCGCTTGATGAGTAACATTGTCTGAAAGATGTGCACTGCCTTTAGCACAGTGGGCTAATATTCAGGTACCATGCAGGAGATCAGGGTTCGAACCCTGGTCAGTCACTTTCCTGTGAATTTGAGCTGCAGCTGTTCTGTTGTATAAGGTATCTGTTTTCCCCCGTCTGTCCTGCAGGGGGTAGCGGTGTGCACAGCCACGTGTAGTCAGCTGCATAAGAGAGCAGAGAAGATAACCTCAGCCCTGATGGAGAGAGGAGGCCTCAACACTGGAGACAACGTGGTGCTGTTATACCCCCCTGGTGAGGAGCTACACACACGCACCTGACTGCTGCGACTGCCCTTCCTCACCTCAATTACATTTCGGCCTCAGAATAGTCAGTTATATGCTATTGTTAAAAGTCCCCCCGCCCTTCTCTCTCTCTCTCTCTCCCTCCCTCCCTCCCCCTCCCTCTCCCCAGGCATTGATCTGATAGCTGCGTTCTATGGCTGTCTGTACGCGGGGGTGATCCCTGTAACAGTGCGGCCCCCTCACCCCCAGAACCTGGCTGCTACTCTGCCCACCGTCCGCATGATCATCGACGTGAGTCAACTACAGCCACCAAGATGTTTTCACATAACAGCTTTATAGAAGATGCTAGGCCTCAATGATCAACAGAAAATGTAGACATACATATAGTTGTACTATGAACACTTTGATAAGTGCTGAAATGTTCTTGATAAATGAACCCCATCTACTCTTAACCTCCCTGTCGCTGTCTGTCTGTCTTGCAGGTGAGTAAAGCTGCCTGTATCCTAACCACCCAGCTCCTCATGAGGATCCTCCGGTCCAAAGAGGCTGCTGCCAGTGTCAACGTCAAGACCTGGCCCACTATCATAGACACAGGTACTGATCTGAAAGATTTGGTGGTAACCTATTCAAAGCTCACTGCAAGGAGAGAAGAGCGTCAATGCGTTTAAGTCAAATGAAATTCAACAGCTTTTAATTGTGAGAGTCGAACCTTTTGAGACAGTCGTATCTTTTCTATGTTCAATCTCCCACTACCTTTTTAGACGACCTCCCAAGGAGGCGGCCCCCCCAGCTCTACAAGCCCCCCACAGCAGAGATGCTGGCCTACCTGGACTTCAGTGTGTCCACCACAGGCATGCTGACCGGGGTCAAGGTAAGGGCTCTGCAGTAATATGACCAAAAGTATATTTGCTCAATGTCTATGTGCACTTAAATACTGTATCCACTCGGAAGACACCATAGTAATTGTTTTGCATATGATATATTAAAATGCATCTCTCTCCTTGATCTCTCTCTTTTCTTTTTCTCTCTTCCATCTCTCCGTCTCTCTCTCGCTCTCCCTTTTTTTTCTCTCTCTGTGGTGTCAGATGTCCCACGCGGCGGTCAGTACTCTGTGTCGCTCCATCAAGCTACAGTGTGAGCTCTACTCGTCACGCCAAATCGCCATCTGTCTGGACCCGTACTGCGGCCTGGGCTTCGTACAGTGGTGCCTCTCCAGGTAAGACCTGGGTTCAAATAGTATGTGTGTAAAAAAAGTTGCAAAGAAAAAGCCATATCTCAGACTGGCCAATAAAAATAAAAGATTAAGATGGGCAGTCTGAGATATGGCTTTTTCTTTGCAACTCTGCCTAGAAGGTCAGCATCCCGGAGTCGCCGCTTCACTGTTGACGTTGATACTGGTGTTTTGCGGATACTATTTAATGAAGCTGCCAGTTTGCGCTGTTCTGTGCAGGGAGTAGTACACAGTGTTGTACGAGATCTTCAGTTTCTTGGCAATTTCTCGCATGGAATAGCCTTCATTTCTCAGAACAAGAATAGACTGACAGGTTTCAGAAGAAAGTTCTTTGTTTCTGGCCATTTGGAGCCTGTAATCGAACCCACAATTGCTGATGCTCCAGATACTCAACTAATCTCAAGAAGGCCAGTTTTATTGCTTCTTTAATCAGCACAACAGTTTTCAGCTGTGCTAACATAATTGCAAAAGGGTTTTCTAATGATCAATTAGCCTTTTAAAAATGATAAACTTGCATTAGCAAACACAACGTGTCATTGGAACACAGGACTGATGGTTGCTGAAAATGGGCCTATGTAGATATTCCATAAAAAATCAGCCGTTTCCAGCTACAATAGCCATTTACAACATTAACAATGTCTACACTGTATTTCTGATCAATTTGATGTTATTTTCTTTCGAAAACAAGGACCATGTCTAAGTGACCAACAAACTTTACAGAAGATAGCCCTATTTAGTAAAAGATCAAGTCCATATTATGGCAAGTACATCTCAAATAAGCAAAGAGAAACGACAGTCCATCATTACTTTAAGACATGAAGGTCAGTCAATACAGAACATTCCAAGAAATTTTAACGTTTCTTCAAGTGCAGTCGCAAAAACCATCAAGCGCTATGATGAAACTGGCTCTCATGAGGACCACAACAGGAATGGAAGACCCAGAGTTACCTCTGCTGCAGAGGAACTGCTTCACAGAGTTCAATTAACAGACACATCTCAACATCAACTGTTCAGAGGGGATTGTGTGAATCAGGCCTTCATGGTCGAATTGCTGCAAAGAAATCACTACTAAAGGACACCAATAAGAAGAAGAGACCTGCTTGGGCCAAGAAACACGAGCAATGGACATTAGACCGGTGGAAATTTGTCCTTTGGTCCAATGAGTCGAAATTGGAGATTGTTGGTTCCAACCACCATGTCTTTGTGAGACGCGGTGTGGGTGAACGGATGATCTCCGCATGTGTATTTCCCACCGTAAAGCATGGAGGAGGAGGTGTTACGGTGTGGGTTGCTTTGCTGGTGACACCGTCTGTGATTTATTTAGAATTGAAGGCACACTTAACCAGCATGGCTACCACAGCATTCTGCAGCGATACGCCATCCCATCTGGTTTGGGCTTAGTGGGACTATCATTTGTTTTTCAACAGGACAATGACCCAACACACAGTATATTTTATATTAGTTATCTTGTTTTTTTGTTATTTTTAGTCCCACCCTTCAGCTCCCCTCAACCCCTCCCATCTATCTCTGAACACCGTCCAGTTTTTTTCTTCTATTTGCCATATCTTTTTCGACTGGGCTGTGATGTTTCACAAAAGTACTGAACCTTTTTATTCTTATAGTTTTTACAGATTGTAAATTAAAGATAAAATGTTTTGCTAAGAGTATTATTATGTTATTGATCGATTGACTATGACTTTTCAAATCACCCAGCAGTGCTATTTGCATAGTTAGCTCCAGGTAAATGTTGTAATTCTTCAGACATTCCTGAACCTGCGACCAAAAACAAGCTACATATGGACAGTACCAAAACAAGTGATCTAATGATTCTGTCTCGTCGCAGCAAAATCTGCAGAGCTGGGATGGTGGTATCCCCCATATATAGAACATTCTATTGGTTGCAAGAATTTTGTATAATAATTTAAATAGAACAACTTTAAGTTTTGAATCCGCCGTCGTTTTGTGTATCAGTTCATAAACCATGTGCCATGGAATCGGTACATCGGAAATCTCTTCCCAGCTATTTTGCAACCTATATGGCACAGCTGTCAATTTATTGGTCCTTAAATGAAATATACTTCAAATAGTATTGGTTTTCTTTAAAATACTTGAACTGTGCTCGATTGAGCTTGTCTGGCTGGCTCAATGTAACCAATGAAATAGTGCCAAAAGTGCAAACCCCGCCCATCCGGCTCTTCAGACAAGCTCAATCAAACGATCCAAGTATTTGAAAGAAAGGCTGCTTCCATCTCAGTGAGTGTCTGTGTGTATGTAAGGTTGGGCAATGTAACAGCAAAATGAAGTACAGTATATATTCTATTCTATTAAAATACTCTACTGTTTGTGTGTCTAGTGTCTACTCAGGTCACCAGTCCATCCTGATCCCTCCTATGGAGTTGGAGATGTCCTTACCTCTGTGGCTGAGCACCCTGAGCCAGTACAAGATCAGAGATACCTTCTGCTCCTACTCTGTCATGGAGCTCTGCACCAAGGGCCTGGGAATGCAGACTGACGCACTTAAGGTAAGGAACACACACACGCTTACCCTTTTCACACTACTGAGCTGAGCCGAGCCAAGTTGAGCTGTACTGATGATGGCCTGGTTACAAATCCACCATAGTTGCTGAAACCGTGCTGGAAAGGACAATATTAAAAATAAAACAATCTGAGCCAGAACATCACAGTTTGGGTCATGAAAGGATACTTCTTAACCACCGCATGCATCAGTGGCTGAATGTGTTTTGTCTGTTTCCAACCTGTGTGTATTGTTGTATTGCATTGTAACCTGTATGTGGATTTATTTCCAGGCGCGGGGTGTGAATCTGTCGTGTGTGAGGAGCTGTGTGGTGATAGCAGAGGAGCGTCCCCGGCTGGCCCTGACCCAGTCCTTCTCCAAGCTGTTTAAAGACCTGGGTCTCTCCCCCCGCGCGGTCAGCACAGCCTTCGGATCCAGGGTCAATCTAGCAATCTGCCTACAGGTGTGCCCCAGCTCATACTCTTTCTCTCTCTCTCTGGCTCTGAACTTCACCACTGTCTCACACACCAACTCATTAGACTAAATCTATAACCCCCACACCTACTAATTTACTGCGTCATTAGGTCTAGTTACAGGGGTTAACCTCAGGTAAACATACAGCTTCAATTTCTCTCTCTGTTTCTGTGCCAGGGTACCGCTGGGCCAGACCCCTCCACCGTCTATGTAGACATGAAGTCCCTCCGCCATGACAGGTAAGACGAGGCATAGCTTTCAGTACTAGGGCTCAGATGTTTTAACTGGTCAGGTCACGTCGACAGGAAATGCACGGGGCCTACTCATGTATTGCTACACTGCAGAGCCAGAGACCATACTAGAATGCAATTTACTGGTGTTCTATTTCATTTTGTGTTGGAGACACTGTTAGTCTCATTCTCTGTCTGTCTTGTCCATGTCTCTTCCAGGGTGAGGTTGGTGGAGCGAGGTGCCCCCCAGAGTCTTTCCCTCATGGAGTCAGGCACTGTAAGTATCCTGGGGTTTCTGACAGTATGTGGCTGTATCACTTTTGATCAGGGTAGCTAAGTGGTCAGGTTACTCATGCTGTCTTGTCATCATGTTCAGTCATCTAGCTACTGTACTAAAGAATCAGTGGATTTGTTCAAAAACATTGTTGAGATTGATGAAACTGTGAGGTTGTCTGTTAACCTAAACCTAAACCCTCCCCTCTGTCTCCAGATTCTTCCAGGGGTGAGGGTGATCATTGTGAACCCAGAGACCAGGGGACCGCTGGGGGATTCCCATCTTGGAGAGGTGAGTTGGCAGACAGACACGAGAGTTGAAGGCATGGCAGCATTGAGGAATGGCTGAAAATTGTGTTAAAACTTGAGTCCTCTCCTTTTTAAACAAATCTGCTATCTGTTCAAATCCCATCCCCCATTTTCTGGTCTTTCACCTTGCTTTCTGTTTCTACCTCCTTTGCATATATCTCTCTCTCTGTCTCTCTCTCTCTCTGTCTCTCTCTCTCTCTCTCTCTCTCTCTCTCTCTCTCTCTCTCTCTCTCTCTCTCTCTCTCTCTCTCTCTCTCTCTCTCTCTCTCTCTCTCTCTCTCTCTCTGTCTCTCTCTGTCTCTGTGTGTGTGTGTGTAGATCTGGATTCAGAGTCCCCACAGTTCCAGTGGCTACTACACCATCTATGGAGAGGAGAGCTTGCAGGCGGACCACTTCAACACGCGGCTGAGTTTCGGGGAGCCACACACCCTGTGGGCCAGGACAGGATATCTGGGCTTTGTCAAGAGGACCGAGTTACTGGGGTCCACCGGAGGTTAGGGACCCTTCTAATATAACCATCCCAGCATTGAGCATGTTATGGACTCTCCCAAGTGAGATATCTTTCTTATGCCGATTCTCACCCTGGACGTCGGTTGCTACACTAAACCAATCTGAAAAGTTCCACGTAGTCATACAAGGCATGTTTAGTCAGTTGATTGCTCATTCAGTTACGCAGACGAAAGGATTCTAGCGCTTTCCAACCAGAACCGTATTCTTTCTCTCCTCTTAGATCGGCATGACGCCCTGTTTGTGGTGGGCCAGTTGGATGAGACGTTGGAGCTCAGGGGGCTTCGCTACCACCCCATCGACATCGAGACGTCTGTGTCCCGGGCTCACCGCAGCATCGCTGAGAGGTACGATAAACACCAGTCTGTTCTGTTGTCTGCTCAGACGCACACGCTACATACATGCTGACAGTGTTGTCACACACACAGTGCATATATGCTTCACCGAATGTATATATATATACACCCCGCAGAATCACTGAGGGATAAGATGTGCGCACACATACATGCATGTGCAGAGCGTGCAGCATTATGAATATAGACTCATGTATTACTGTCTCTGGGTGACACCAATAGCACACACAGTTCAATTTGAATTAATGGGCTGAATGTGATTGTTGTGACTGTTTGTGGCTGCCTCTGTCTGAGTACGAGTTACACAGATTGGATTATGCACACAGATCGAAGTTAGGATTCCGAAGCTGTAACTCGCACTGTTTTGAAGCTGACTGATGTAACCTGATGTATGACTGTTGTGGTCGCCGTCTCTCTTGTCTCCCAGAGCTGTGTTCGACAGTGACATATATTTTCGGTATAAAGCCACAATACCATAAGCCAGTGGTTCTCAAAGGTGGGGTCGTGAATGTGATTACATATTTTTCATACATATTTTAATATGCTACATATAGCCTACCATTTGTATTTTATCTACCTTAACCTATTTGATCTGGTTTCTAATATAGGCCTCAGAACCAAAACGTTTCGCATCTTGACCAATGACCAGTCATCAGGATTGGCGCGCAAATGCGGGTGTATATCCAGATTAGTGACCCAAAAGCATTGCCAGGCAAAAACATAGTAGACCTACATTTATATTATCCATATAAAATACAGTTCAGAAATCTACTACAGAGGCATCTTTGCCAGAGCAATAATAGGCTACCTCGCGATTTCATTGAGCATTTTCATTGTTCAGATAGTCCTAGTTTTGGGAGGCTACTGGCTATATGTCTAAAGGTAGCTGTGATATCGCACTGCCTTCAATATTATGGGATGAAGTTGTAACATATTCTGGCGAGTTTATTACGGTATTTGTGAGGAATTAAAAGGGCTACCCAGTTGGCAACGAGCATTCTGCGGGCAGGCGGCCCTCTAAAGTGATAGCACGTGGTGCAGACACAGCGATTGTGCGTGGGGTGTCGCGAGCTTTGACCTACTGCTTTTTGCAGGTTGCGGGTCAAAACGTTTGCGAACCACTGCTCTAACCCACGGAGCCATTGGAAGCACAGTTGAATGTTAAACTTGAAGAGTGACTGACTGTTGGTGCCTGTCTGTCTCTCTCTCTCTGCCAGTGCTGTGTTCACATGGACCAACCTCCTGGTGGTAGTGGCAGAGCTGGCCGGGTCGGAGCAGGAAGCCCTGGACCTGGTGCCTTTGGTGACCAACGTAGTTCTGGAGGAGCACCACCTGATTGTGGGCGTGGTGGTCATCGTGGACCCGGGGGTCATACCCATCAACTCCCGGGGAGAGAAGCAGAGGATGCACCTCCGGGACTCGTTCCTGGCCGACCAGCTGGACCCCATCTACGTGGCCTATAACATGTGAGATGTGAGGAGGAGGGCCAAGCCCCAGACACACTGGGGTGAAGGCTGGCTATGGGAGTCCACTGGGGTGAAGGGTGTGTAGAGACTCTGAGAAGGAGTTGATGGACAGAGAGAGAGGCAGGGGGGGTGGGATGGACTGCTCCTCCCGTGAACGGACCGCTCACATTCACCCATCTGGCAGTGGGACAGTGTGGCAGAACAGGAGTGGCGATGGTGAATGGGCTTGGACTTAGTTTAGCCACCCTGTTACAATATCTTCTGCCTCAGTGCACTCTCTCTTTCTCGGCCAGAGTCTACTATCTATGAAACAGAGACTATGTTTATTGAGTTTTTGGGTGGGAGTGAAGCTACAGCACGTCCGTCTGCATGGGGTTGAGCTGCTTCTTACTGGTGCTTATCCAACCACTCCACACCTCTCTCTAACAGAGGAGGAAGAGGATTGGTTACTTCTCTTTAATTGACATTTAGGTCCACCTATCAAGAAGAAGACGTTTGCCAATACCCTCATCCACTGTCTCTCCCCTCTTCTCTCCCCGACTGTGCCGATCAATGATTTTATCCCCAGACATAATAATTATTGTGCATCTTGTTTTATAGAAGAAGACAAAAACTGTAGAGATGTGTTTCTCGTCTCAATCCATTCCCTGGTTTGTTTTTAGTTCAGCCTGTACCTTACGCTCTCCTTTCTCCTGAGTGGTCCACAGTCCGTCATGTTTGTCAGGATGGGACCGTGGAGCCAATGAGACGAGCTGGAAGCTTCCCCCATGCACTTTAACCTTTCCTTGTCCTTCCATAATCTGTCCTGTCTCTCCTAGCCTGGTCTCAGATCAGTTTGTGCTGTGTTGCCAACTCCTCATGTGACAATGACCGTCGGAGTTGGAAAGACAATGCAAACAGATCTGAGACCATGCTTGTAGTGTGTCCCAAATGACACCCTATTCCCTATATAGTGCACTACCATATGGGCCCCGGTCAAAAGTAGTGCACTAAATAGGGAATAGGGTGCTATTTGAGACGTGTCTCCTGGGTAGTCGATGGGAAACTGACTTCCTCTAACCACCATTTTTCATGAAGAAATTCAAATCAACAACTATTCCAAACAATACAATACCGCCAGCAAGTACAGCTCACTTCAGGCAAACAAATGCCTGCACCTCAGTAGCTGTACTTACTTCAGAGCTTCTGTCCCATACATCTTAGTTTGTTTTAACGGCTTACTGCTATGTTACAAGCTTTCAGACTTGCTAGAAGAAGTCACTTTTAAAACCCACTTTGAATTGGTATGGAATGAAAAATATGTGCAACAAACATATCAGCAGCAAACTCAAACAACAAAACAGACAAGCTTTTTATTTTTGGACAATATTCTAAGTCATTGATGTATGAGCGGGAATCGCTGGATGACAGTGATCTCATCGATCATGTAAAGAAAATGAACTCCTGTTTAACTGTAATGCTATTCCATGGGCTCATGGTTATATGTCTGTGCAGCCATAAGACAAGGTAAACTGGTGTAGATATTTACCTTTAAACATATGTATTTACTATAGTGCACCATACAGTAATGAATTGTAAATAATCATTATTTAAATGTCAAGCAAACACAATACCGGTAATATGGAACAATAAGATTGACTTCTAATAAACTGATTATCTTATTGGCTGATATGATATCACGGAGGCTCCTATACTGAATCACTATATCTTAGCTTGAATAAGTATCAGTCAGTCAGTCAATCGACTGCTAGCCTTTGTCACAGGCTTTCAACTAGCGAAGCCTGGCGTCCAAGGCTGGTCAATTGCTAAGCTTGTTTCTTCATTCTGTAGTGTCTATTGAGCCACAAAGGGCATCTTCAACTCTATGACTAACTTCACGAGGCTACATCTGGGTTATCGGAAGACTGCTGCCCTGTGCCTTTGTATTGTGTTATCATGAAACGTAACATCTTCATAAATCAAGGACTTGGTGTATTACCAAAACAGTTTGCAGTGGGTATAAGATGAGAACAATTTCTTGCCTTATAAAACGTGTGGAACTTTTAACATTTTTGTTTTTATTTGTCAAAGGCTTTCATTTTATTGCTGTACTTGTGATGAATAGAAAAGGGATTGTGGAGGGTAAGGTTGAGATGTTGACTGTATAGTGTATATTTTAGAGGTCAAAAACTGTATAACTGGTGTTACAATGTACATTGAAATTATGAACTTATTCTTTATGTTGATAAAACTTGACTGATCTTTCATACTTGACAGCAAATCTCTGCATTACTGACTTAAAAATAGGCTAAGTAACAAATTGCAAAATTCAAAGAAGTGTATCTTATGGTTTGGCAGGTGGTAATATTTTGCACTTTCCCATATCATTATTATCTGTGTGTGTGTGTGTGTGTGTGTGATCGTATGGTTTAAATGGTGACATTGTTTGTCTTTCCTTGTGCAAAAAAGTTTCATTGCCCTTTTTAATTAAATTAACATTGAAATATTGAACAATATTTTAGTTCCAGATTGGCCTATTTTATGTCAAATTCACTGTACTACAATTTTTATTGGTTGATCAACCACTTTTTCTTTCATCCAATGAGACATTATTGATTTAAATGTAATTGTAATGGTTTTTCATGCAAAATTGTATGTTCTCTTTGTCATGAACTCTTCTTTCAACTATCCTACATTAACAGCACAACTCTGTTGCAAAACAAAAGCCTTGTTTGATTTGGAAGTAGTTAAGACTACTTGATTGACAGACAAACATTGTAATTTGTAAGTCCATCTTTTGAGTGAAGTTGAAATTTAATGGTTCATAAATAAATGTATTGAACACCTTCGCATGTTTTAATAATATTTTCTTACAGTGGTGTGACCATAGAACTAGAATGAGTTTACCAGTCAAATTGCCATGGTGAGAGGTTCCAAGCCCATCTACTCATTCTATTTCTATGGGTGTGACAACATGTTGCCCTGCCATATGTGCAATACACATTGGTGCTATCCAAAACTGGAAACAGTGAAAAGTCTTTTAAAAATCTGCCTATGGATAAACCATCATAATTGTAGACATTTCCTTTTTTTTTTTTTTTTTTTTTTTTTTTTTTACACTTTGCCAATTGTAGTAAAACTGAAAAAAATTAAGGATGTTATAATCTTTTAGAGTCAGTATTGTAAGCACAAAATGTACTGTACTTCTGTAGTGATTAAAAAAAAAGGATCTTTCAGATAAATGTTTCTTTGTTAACCTCAAGGCCTGAGGTCTGTTCACTATGCATAAACACTATGCAACAGTGGTGCAATGATAAGTTCCAACTCAGAAAAGAGGCATACTTATGTCCTATTGACCAACATTTTGTTAAGTTGTTAATGGGGATCATTTGTTTTCTATTTGTTTTAGCAAAATGAGACCATAAAAATAGGCTTTTGTCAGCACTCCTCTGGGCTCTGTTTCCCCAAAACGTCTTGCTATGTTCATCATTAGAACCATAGGATGGAAACAGTAATGATGAACATAGCCTTAAGATGCCTTTGGGAAACCGGGCCCTGCTCTGTGATCTCTAAAGCCACTAGTCTATTTTCAGTCGCTTGTCTCCGTCTCAATCACTCCCACTTGGTGTCTGATTGGTGTGATGACCTGTCAGTAATTTCGTTTTTAACATCAACAGCCCATCCACTTCTGAATTTTTTGGGGCGGGGTCTCATTCGCTGAATGCCCAATAATGTTGAACCGGAGACAAGTGAAAAGACAACTGTAAAAAGAGACTACAAAGCCACCGTGTGGCGCCACATTATTACAGAGAAAAATTACATCACTCCACCAGGGGTCAGCCAACCCTCTTTCTCGGCTGAATTTTCTAGTGGTTTCTAGATGTGTACAGTGGTTGCTCCATCTCCTGGCTTATCTTCAGCTCTTCACAACTTCATATTTGCAGACAAGTTACATTTTGATATGAATATATGTGGTGGGAAAGTTGACTTAATTTGTGTCATCTGAGATATCAAAGACTAACAGCAAGGCAACACAATGTTCAACAATCTGCATCATCAAAATAAGTCACAGGCAGCCCAATTCTAATATTTTTTTTCACTGATTTATATTTTGACTAATCTGGTCAGCTCTGAAAAATATCTGATATGAAAAGATTTGATGTGATTGATCAAAAGAAAAAATATCAGAATTGGGCTGCCTGTGTAGACGCATCCACCCTGGTGTTCCATGGCAGCCATTTGTCTGTCTCACTACTACCCCCCCCCCTCCAGGCCTGGTGCCTATGGTGCTGATCTCCCTGCCAGGGCCGTCCTTGGGTCACCTTCATTTGTGTCATCTGAGATATCAAAGCGTAACAGCAAAGTAACACACACAATGTATTCTGCAAAATCAAAATCCACATTTATTTTCAGAATGGGATTTAATTACAATATGTTTGGTTTTCAATATGTAGACTGCTCTCAAATGAAATATATACAGTGGGGAAAAAAAGTATTTAGTCAGCCACTAATTGTGCAAGTTCTCCCACTTAAAAAGATGAGAGAGGCCTGTAATTTTCATTGTAGGTACACGTCAACTATGACAAACAAAATGAGAAAGAAAAATCCAGAAAATCACATTGTAGGATGTTTTATGAATTTATTTGCAAATTATGGTGGAAAATAAGTATTTGGTCAATAAAAAAAGGTTCTCAATATTTTGTTATATATCCATTGTTGGTAATGACACAGGTCAAACATTTTCTGTAAGTCTTCACAAGTTTTTCACACACTGTTGCTGGTATTTTGGCCCATTCCTCCATGCAGATCTCCTCTAGAGCAGTGATGTTTTGGGGCTGTCGCTGGGCAACACAGACTTTCAACTCCCTCCAAAGATTTTCTATGGGGTTGAGATCTGGAGACTGGCTAGGCCACTCCAGAACCTTGAAATGCTTCTTACGAAGCCACTCCTTCGTTGCCCGGGCGGTGTGTTTGGGATCATTGTCATGCTGAAAGACCCAGCCACGTTTCATCTTCAATGCC